TTTATATTTTCCAGCTGTATTCGTCGGTTGTTTCGGCTTTGTCGGTTGTGATATCTATTGTTGAAGTTAGTTCGAGGATGGAGGCGTTGGAAAAGGCCGAAAAGCTCGTTGAGGGGGGCCAGCGCCTCCATGGATTCATGCTCAACTTGTTCTTCAATCTGGTGGCGTTGATTCTAATTTTGCCGGCTTCTTATTATTATATCGATAAATTGTCCGTGAATAAATTCGCGATTTATTACGGGTTGTTCTTTTTGAATTTCGTCTCCTTGTTGAACATTTTTGTTTTTACGGCGTACACCGTGTTTTATTACTGGTGTAAGAAGCACCACGGTGAAGAAGAAGAAGAAAAAGAAGAAGATATAAATGTACAATACAGTCAATTACCTGCTTTGGATAGTGATATTCCCTGAGGATGGCTATATATATATATATATATATATATATATATATATATATATATATATATATATATATATATATATATATATATATATATATATATATATATATATATATATATATATATATATATATATAAATTTTTTGTTAATAAATCATAAATGCTAAAAATGTGAAAAATTTAGGGGCCCTAAATTTTTCAAAAATCCGAGGGCGACCGCCTACTTTGCCTCATTTCAGAACCGGCCCTGATCTCACATGCTCGGTTATTAAACACATGCACACACATTTATATATACAGTCAAATACATATTTATATACAAATACACACAGAAATTGGCGATTTGGTTAAATTCTATGCAAGCATAGGGCATATTTAAGGTGGTCCTTTAGCCAGTCTTTTTGAATTAATTTTCGTTTTTAATCACACACTAGCCGTAAAAGATGTTGTGCTGAGAATCAAGTCAATTTCACTTTTTTTTTTTACAGGAACAGATCAAATTTTCTTGAAAAAGGGTTATTTATTAGCAGAGAAAGAAGCAAGCAAGATTCCTTGACCTGATTTTTTTTTTTTCCTTTCCTTTTGAAGTAAATGAGTGGAGGATGACATAATAGAGAATCAAATAGCAAAAACTTCACAGTTTGCAGTCACAGTTTGTACATAAACTTGTGATCATAACATTGCAGTTTTAGATTTGCAGACAATTTCATGTCACATTTTTGTATGAGTCAAAGCATGATTTTCAAAATTTTTGAGTTTGAATTTGACAAAACTCAAAGTCCAGAATTTGCTGTTCTTTGTGTTAGCATTTTAATCCAACTTTAATCACCAAGATTGGATGTCGAGTGAGAAAGATATGGATGAATGAATAAACAATGCTCACGACTTTGATGTTTTGAATTATCTAAAATTCAAAATGTAGCTCATTCATGCATAATTTTTTCACCGCACATCCGATCTAGCCGATTCAAGTTAGATTAGAAAACCAACTCAATGAACTACAACTTCCGTGTTTTGAACTTTGCCAAAATCAAACTAAAAAATGGTTAAAATCACGTCGGAAAATTGAAACGTCATTTAGCATTTATATTAAATGTCAAAAGATCAAGGCACTCTCATACCGGCTCGTCATTTTTGCCGTAAAACTACAAGAATTCAAGCAAACAAACTCAAAAGTACTTCCAAAAGAAGTAAAAGCTAAGAAAAAATAACCCATCGTCACATCCCAAACGAAAAGTAGATCGAATCGAATTTGTCCACCACAATAAAAGAGAGAGCTTAGAAATCGCTATTTCACAGACAGTTAAAACCCAAGACTGAAAAAACCGATGAAATTTACCCTTGTCACTACAATTAATCTATAAGCAGCAGCAGACGAAACTGAAAGGCGAATTCTGAAACAATCCATAGTGTGCTTCTAATAGTCTCGATTAAAGAAGTGTCAGAATAACACGGTACAAAATATTAAAACCATCTCCAGAGCTATACTATATGCAAATTACCAGAACAGATTAATGACATTTCAAGCCCACCTCCTCTAGTAGCAGAGAAAAGCCCGAGGCTCAAGCTTCGTCTATCTGGTCCTGCATTAACATGAACCGCCAATATATATTATAACTAAATTGATTGATTCGAGTTCAGCTTTCGGATTTAATTCTTAAACTTGACTATCAGATTCTTAACAATCAATTACAAAGTGCCAACAAAAACATACAATCGTGCGAATCGGGGACAATTTCAACATTTTTTATTTTTATTTTTTCCCCAGAATTCACGGATTCTACTTCTTTATTGGGCTTACTTTTTCGTGTAGGAGAGGAAGGGGGTCAAATCGACTTCTCGGTGCATTTATATATTCTTTCAGAAAGTTAAGAGGGTCTATCTATAAAGGCCACAAACAATTAAAAGTCAAATTTAACTAAAGCTTCTCTGAAACCCATATTTCCTATGTGCAAATATTTCTACCTACGAGAAAAACGGGGGTTCACGTTTCTTTGTTCAGTGAAAGAATAGTTTCAATCTATATTATTGCCTACCTGCATATCAGAGGTCCAAAGAGTGAGATTATCTCTCAGAAGTTGCATGATAAGAGTGCTATCCTTGTACGACTCTTCGCCCAGAGTGTCCAGCTCAGCAATAGCTTCCTCAAAAGCCTGCATAACAAGATAAAATAATTTGAGTGTCTAATAAGAGGAATTTCCAATAGATTAAACAAACATGCATGACACGCAAAGGCGAAAGAATGTTACCCTTTAATAACTTTATCGAGGTTCAAATTTAGAAAAATATAGCAATTACATGCATAGACATCATGGAAAGCAGTAAGAGATGTTGGTTCGTGCGATAGATAAGGTAAAGAAAATTGGTATTTGTTTGTATCTGCCACGTTAGTAACAGAGTGAAAGTTAAGGTTGATCAATTCTCTTGCACGTTGTTTGAGATTTATTGAGGAATCAGTCTAGTTGGGCCTCGTTTGGTTGGGAAGATTAGCCATGATTAATTAAATAGTAGGACTTTGTTTGATGTTTGGTATCCCCAATAACTTACCGGGTCGACCCGCAAATATTATGTTATCATGACTTATCATGGTTTATCTTGCCTTCTAAACATGTTCTTTTGTTGGACCTTCCAAGCTCCAATAAAATAATTGGGTTTCATTAGATTATTTAATCTTATCTTGGCAACCAAACGAGGCCTTGATGTATCGGGTCAAGCATGGTGGCAATTTCATTGTCTTTTTTTTGAACATATTGCAAGCCAATAGAATGCGTTTCATGTTTGCAGACAACTTTGCATGAATCATGCAAGTTGTAAATATCAGGAAAACAAGGGAATAGAGATTAACTACTGGCTTTTGTTGCACAAAAAAAAAAAAAAAAAAACACGACTAAATCGATCTTTATAAATATTAAAGTTATCTGTAAAATGTGGAAAAAAAAGTCAGAAACATAATTTCTCAGTCAAGTTTCCGAATTCCGATGCTCGCTTTTGTAGTATTCTCTTACTTTAAGTTCTATTACTCAAGCAAAAAAAAGTTTAAATTGGACAGAACAAATAGAAGAGAGAAGGCACAGAAGAGTTTGAAGGTGAAACGGAAGAAACAGATTGCATTTGCGCGAAAGTGAAAGCAAAAACTTATTCAAGTCTATTCAAAACTAACTAACCTGTTTGGCCATGCTGCAAGCTTTTTCCGATGCATTTAGAATTTCGTAATAATAAACTGAGAAATTCAGCGCCAAGCCCAATCGTATAGGATGTGTCGGAGCAAGCTCAACAAGTGCGATATCCTGTTCAAAATTGATCGCATAAATATACAATCAAGCAGTTTCCAAATTTTATTTCTAAAAAATGAATAGCAGAACACGTCACATACTTTGTTTAGGCGTACGTACGAGTGTGCTTTATTTGACTTAACAAGTGTCTATCCAGAATATAAATGAACATCAGCCGTTTAATTCCTCGTTCTAGAACATCAAATTATAATTTCTGGTTTTAAACATGAGAATAACAGAAACATCGAATATTTGTACAGATTCATTATTGGAAGGGGGATTTAAATGTCAAGTATGGTACTGTAATCTTCAATTTCTCAATAGAATCCGACACGCTATACCATTTTTACAGAAATAACCATTCCTTCAATTGAAATTTAATTTCCGTTACGACTCTTCCGAAATTCACACATTCGGCACTAACCTCACTTTCTTAAATGTTCACAGTGGAATTTCTTCAGAAACAAGTTAGTCAGTGATTACAAGTTATAACAGCAATCGGAACACAAATCGACAATATGTATACGTATTGAATGCAGTCTAAATCAAATTTTCAACTATGCCCCTTACAAAAAATATTTAAAAAAAAATTAAAAAATACAATAAATAAATTGCTGTACCTGAGCGGCTTTGTAAGCGAGCATAGTTTCCTCGGCAGCTTCCTTGCGCTCACCGGTAACCTTAAACTCGGCGAGATACCTGTGATAATCGCCCTTCATCTTCAGATAGAAAACCTTGGACTCGCCGGAGACGGCGGACGGAATCAGATAGTCGCCGATGAGCTTCAAAATTCTGGCGCAGAGCTGCGTGAGTTCGGTCTCGACCTTAGATCTGTAGTCCTTGACGAGCGCCACGTGGTCGTCGTTCTTACGCCCCTCCTCCTTCTGCTCGATGGAGCTGACGATGCGCCAGGCGGCTCGGAGGGAGCCGATGACGTTCTTGTAAGCCACGGAGAGGAGGTTGCGCTCCTCGATCGAGAGCTCGGCGCCGGCCGAGCCGACGACTAGACTGTCCATGAAGTCGACCATCTCCTCGTAGCGCTCGGCTTGCTCGGCTAGCTTCGCCATGTACAGGTACTGTTCTCTGGTCAGAGCCATCGGAAAAGTTAGAGAGAGAAAATGGGGGTTTGGGATTTCTCTGAATTTTGGGGGAAAATTGAGTAAATGACGAGTTCAATTCTATGATATTTTCATTATATATAAAAATAATAAACTCCTTAATTTACAAAACGTTTCATTTTCACTAAAATGATAAATTTACTTAGGGTGACAAAGAAATCGAAAAATCGGACCAAAAAAACCGAAAAATTGAGCCATTTCGAACCATTCTAAATAGCAAACCGTGTGCACTTTTTTTTTTCTAATGAATTTCCGAACCTAAGCTATAAAATGACTTCATTTTATATGTAATATGTATATTATTTACCCTAAAAAAATATGTGAAATTGAATATGTAGTTAGTTACTCTTAAGTCAAAAAATAACTGAAAACTGAACCCAAAAAACCAAAATGAAATGAAATCGAAATATAAAACGGTATATTTGGTTAATGTTCGATTCTAACCAAAAATCGAGCCGTGCACGCCGGTAAATTTACCACTCATCATTTGGCTTTACATATATTTTTTTTTTAAATTTCCTTGTCCATTTAACTATTTCCATTACCAAACACCTCATATTCATAACTCAACTAATTCCAAAATTTCAGACTTATTTCTGAAAATTGAAATCGGATTAAGTATCAATTGATTTTGGCACAGTGAAAAGTTTAAACCCTGGTTATACCCGCAACCAATCCACCACCACCACCACCACCCCCAACATCCTCTGCGAGTGAGAAGGAGAGAGATGAACTGCAAATGGAGTCTACTACAGCTATGGCAAACACCACCGTCTTCTCTGCTCTTCCGCCGCTGCAATTTTTCCAAACGTACTCTCCCACCGCTGTTTTGATTTTCCGTTTTTTTTCATTTTTATATCATCCTCTTACAATCTAAACCTTCTCCGATCGCTTTTTGTAGCTATGAATTCTGTTTCTCCAAAAATTATGCGGCCAAGTGTCTGCTTCTGTAAGCAGATGCAGACTACTGCATACGAAGTTGTCAATGGCAGCTACGTACCAATACGTGACACCAAACAGCCAATCAATGTTAATGTTAAGGTATTCCCAAACAACTAATTAATTATTTCATTAATTACTAATTAGTTGATGTGTTTAATTCGTTTTCCTGTATTACACAGCCGGTTGATGAATTTTAGTTTTCTTTTTATTGGGCGAAAAATTGATTTGTATCATAATTAGTATGGAATTGGTGCTTTCGTTTTTAGGACGAAGTGCCTGTGGCCGTGCCGGCGCCTCTCGAAGGTGTAGGTGCGTTTCAAAAGCTTCCCATGGTGATGCCGTCGGTCGACATATTATTTTCAGCGTTGAAGAAGGCAAGGAGGGTCTCAGCTACAAAGGGTAATTAATTGGTTTATCGAGAGTCGTTTCATTTAAATGCAAGTGTTGTTGTGGCAAATTGTTGGTTTAACAAGTTGCCTTCGATACGAATGTTTTGATAATAGGTATCGCTAATATTGCGAAACGTGAAAGAAATAGAGGTGCTAAACAGCTCGACGCTTTGATGAAGGTGAATTCGTGGACATGCTCTTTGGAGGGATAGAAATTGCTGATTTTTCTCGTGTAAAGAAGAACTTAGTTTAGTATTCTCTGTTTGTTATTAACTTCAGGAACTTGCAGTTCCGTTGAGGATGTACAAGGAGAACTTCCCCAATAAAAAAACTTTGCATCCTTACGAAAGATCTCTAATTGAGTTGACTCTTGGCGACGGTAACTACGAGGAGGTATATATCAAGGCTTCACCCCTCTTTTTTTTTTTTTTTTTTTTTTTTGCGTTTGCCTTGTTGACATTTATAATGAAGTAACACCGGTATATTGTGTGTTGTAATACGCATAACTGCGTTCGCATTTTGATATCACAATATGTATCTTGCCTTTTATGTTTAAATTTAGAAACTCAATGATTGACAGGTGTTGCGTAGGGTTGATACTTTGCGGAAGAGAGTGGTTTCAGTAGGAAAAGAACATGCCTCTCTCTGTGCTAAGGTTGTAAGTTGACTTAAGTTTGTATGTACTTCTGCATCCATACTTTATATTAGATTAAGGCCTCGTTTGGTTGCCAAGATAAGATTAGCCAATATATGATTAAATAATATAATGAAACACAATTATATTATTTGACCTTTCATGATCCAGTAAAAACAATATGCCTAGAAAGTAAGATAAGGCATGATAACATAATATTTGTGGGTCGACCTGGCAAGTTATTGGGGGTACTAAACATCAAATAAAGTCCAATTATTTAGTTAATCATGGTTAATCTACCCAACCAAACGATGCCTAAGTGAGTGAGTTTCGCTACCTATTGCTGAAACATGGGATTGTTGTACTAGGAACTTTGTTATTTAATCGGTGTCCAATTATTTGAAAGACCGATAAGCTTGGTTTGGAAAAGTAGAACACTTCGTCTTTGGGTTTTGAACAGGAAATACTATTCAGTTGACACTAACCAGCATGTTATGTGAAAATAAAGTTTTTATAGGGCTACTTGATAACTAGAGAAAAACTAGCAATTTCATTGTGTATCGATGTTTTGATTTTTGGATTAACAATCGAGCACAGTTGAATAATGTTTCGTTCTAGATTTGCTCAAGTCAGTCAAACACACCGTCTGTGATTTAATAGTTTCATAAATTGATATGTTCACTGAATATTTTCGTAATGCTTGACAGTCACTCACAAAGCGTGAAGCTGAGGAGCGATTAGATGAGGTTAGTACTGCTCTAAGCATAGATTCCTTTTTCTCTACGTCCCAAGTTCATCTTTTATTTGGTCTTGCCTGCAGGGAAGGAAGAAAATTGAAGAAATTTTTAATTCTGAAGGAAAAGCTGTAGATGAACTAATGCATATTGCCAAGGTAATCTGTCTTTTTTAAAACAAATGAATCAAGTAGAATTACAGGAAATAAATCTAAATTTGTTCATTTCATTCTTTCGAACCAAGATTCACGGTCAAATATTGTTGTATTCTCCGCTGTTCGGATTATAAAAAGTCATGCCGTAATTGTAGGTTTGCATATGGATGCAAATATTTGAACGGAGGATTTCAAATCCATTATACTTGTTTAGATTGATTCATTCGACAATTGGTTTCAAATCCTTAACTCTAGCTTTAAGTTATTTTTTGAGGCGTTGTGGTGGATTTCATTTAGTTCATCTAATTTGGAGTCTATTTGAAATCCTTCTTCATATTCTCTCCTCGAATCCAGATCCTTCAATCCATATGCACTCTTGGGGAATGCATTGAATTTATGAATTGATGATTGGTTGGTTCAATTCATTTCTGATTATCAAAAAAAAAAGTAGATGTGATTCCGTTGATAACTAGTTGGATAGCATGTTATGTTTGTTTTATTTTGTTATTTCTTTTTTGGAGGTGTATTGAAAATTTGCATTTCAGACTTTGCGGGCAATGCCAGTAGTCGATTTGGAAACACCCACTCTCTGTCTTGTCGGGGCTCCTAATGTAGGAAAGTCGTCTTTGGTCCGTCTTCTATCAACAGGAAAGCCTGAGGTATGTACCAGGTCGATCAAATGTCACATTGTATCTAAAATCATTTAACACTTTCGATCATGGATCTATTTTATTCTGAGAAGCTCACTTTGAACTTGACGGTAACATTATTTTGTATCAGTAGGATTTAATCTCTCTTGCTTTCTTGGCATGGGACACTGCGTTTGATAATAATGAATCGACTAGATTATTCATGATCTAATGGAAGTATGTTGATTAAGTGGTTTTACATAAGGGTTTCCACTAGTTATATATTGGATGCAGCGAGATTTTTACCTTGCTTTTATGTTAAACTTGGGAAAAAGAAAATGTCATTTTTTCTAGTGCAGTAAACTTATAATATATAGACCGAACACCTTATAATATATAATACTGATGCATGCTCTAACACGTCTCAGATCTGCAATTATCCATTCACAACGCGAGGAATTCTGATGGGACATATTAACTTGAGCTTCCAGAATTTTCAGGTTCACAGTTTTGAAGAGATTTTACCTTTTGTCAAAATTCTCTCTCTTGTCTTAAACCTCGAGATACAATTTCTCTTCAGGTCACGGATACACCTGGTCTGTTAAGGAGACATGATGGTGAGTGAGAGACTTTCGATTTATTTCAAGTTCTTGATATTGGAAGTGAACTATGTTAGTTATGTAGTGTAATTGAGGGTGCCAAGTTTAATTAGTCGTTCTTGACGGGTTTTGCTAGTAGAAAGTGACAAAAGTAACTACAACTTGTGCAAAATGATGTTTGGGAAATCGGAAATTGAGCAGGCCTTGAATTTTTTTTTTTTTTTATATTTTTTTGCAGAGGATAGGAATAATTTAGAAAAATTGACACTTGCTGTACTCTCCCATTTGCCAACTGCTGTACTCTATGTTCACGACCTCACCGGAGAATGCGGCACCTCACCTTCTGATCAGGTCTGTTATATCTGCATCTATTTTTAGCTTGTAAAAAAAAGAAGAAAGTCTCGACATTATTTAATCCAAAAATAAAATATTACAATCGATTTCTCCTTCCTTTGAAACATCTATATTTGATTTCTTTTATCATTCCTTCCTAATGTTATGCATTCCTTTAAGTCTATATTTCTTCTGAAACTCGTTTATTTTGAAGACAATGATCCTATTTGCTGATCTATCGGCTTAGTTCTCTTTTATGCTAAGAGATTATTTTATCCGGTTTGAACAGTATATCATTTACAAGGAAATAAAAGAAAGATTTGGCGACCATCTTTGGCTTGATGTTGTGTCGAAAGGCGACCTGCTAACCGATACTCCAGTACTCTTCATCACCGAAGATAGCAACTCTGATACTTCTGAGCTGGCAAAATATCGAAGAGTGGGACCCGATGGAGCACTACGTGTATCTGTCATGACTAAAATGGGTATTGATGAGGTATGCATTATGCTTCTATATATATATATATATATATATATATATATATATATATATATATATATATGTTGCTATGATTTTGATCCATTAGTATATCTGATGTGCAGTTGAAGACTAGAGTGCATGAACTACTAATTACTCAGTTGTCGATAATAAAAGACGGCTCAACTGAAGAAGTAGAAGAAAAAGTCGTAGTACCGAAAAAACAGTTCCATTAATGGATACGAGTAAATTATTATTCAGGATCTTAAGTATGGCGATACGAAGGCTAAATAAACGAGAGAAATAGGTGGATGAAAACTCCGATGAATATATATTATGGTTCCTGTGTAACGGTTTTCCTTGATTTAACATGGCTGAGTAATCCGAGGCAGATTATACGACTGTAATTTTTTGCTACAAACTAATGGATTGTCTTCAATTTGCAAGTGAATGTATAGAGTGTTTTTTTTTCCTGCTATTTATGTTTACATATGAATACACTAGCAGCTGCAGTAGAGAATTTAAGAATCTGACCTTCAGCGTCGATCCAATTCTTGCCTCGTAAAAACTCGAATACTTGAAGAAATGTATATTTGTTACTCTACCTTTTGTCATTTAAATTTATTAAACATAATTTCATTAATATGGCTAATGCCAATATCAGATATAGGCTCAATAGGCTGATCATCATCATCATCATCTGTTGTCGAAATTCCACTCACCGGTTCTCGACTGAATTCATCTGCATAGATAGAGCACATGCCAAAAAATTAATAATGTTTTCGTATCTCGATTTTAAATATTTCATATTTAAAAACATGAAAACAAATTAACTTACCAAAAATCGAGTTCAATGAGGTAGGAGGAGGAGTCGCCATAAAATTCATGCCGATATAAAATCCAATCGCCACCACAATTATCATCATTAAATAAGTAGGCATGGCCAACGCCCAATACCTGAAACATGTAATATTACACGAGCATTAAACCGACTCTACGACAACTTTAATCTTGAATATGTAACACTAAAATGTAACAATCATAGTTGTTAATGCTTAATTTTTATTTTTATTTCTCTCTTTCATTTCTCGAAATTTCAGTCAATGTCGTATTTACACATACGAAAACGACACACATGCGTATATTCTATTTGGCTAACCTGCTCGGGTAGTAATATATCCCTACAGAATGCAACCAACGGTCCGGAATGTATGCCCATATAATGAAAACAACTGTTGCAAACAAAACAAGAATCGTTTCAAAAAACGGAAACTTAACGAATAGGGTAAAAAAAACGAAACTTAATGAAATCACCGATACTCACTCATTTCTTTTTAAGTGGAGTTTAACGAATGCACGTCAATCAATTAAACGGAGCTACGTAATATCTCCGTAAAATGACAGTTAATGTAAATTGTGAAACATCAAGAAAAACGTGCATCTAATTCCAAGACGAAAACATCAAATTTTCATTGAAATCACATAAGCCCACAAAATCAATCATCCCTAACAGTGAATGTTCATTGAAGTAGATCAAATGTTTAAAATCTTTTAATCAATTTGGGCCTCGTTTGGTTGCCAAGATAAGATTAAATAATTTAATAAAAGTCAATTGTTGTATTCGACCTTGGAAGGTCCAATAAAAAAATTCTAGGCAAGATAAACATAATATTTGAGGGTCGACCCGGCAAGTTATTGGGGGTACCAAACGTCAAACAAAGTCTTGTTATTTAGTTAATCATGGCTAGTCTCTCCAACCAAACGAGGCCTTAGCATACGAGTTACAACCAACCAATCTGAAATATAATCTGGAACGGAACAAGATTGTACAGTAGAAATAATGAGGAAGATTAGAGATTGAACCTGTGGAAACAACAGTGGTAATGGATCCGACAAACCCATAAACCTCTGAAAGTTTGGGTCCTTGATCGCCGAATCCGGTCGGAGATCGGTGGTCGGCGTCGGGAAATGACACTTTTGCCCTTCGATTCCTTGAGAAGCTCAGTATCCTTCGTGGGCTGTTCACGGAACAACGCTCTTCCATCTTGATTCTCTCTCTCTCGTCTACCGGTGGAATTCAATTTTTGTTATTTCGTTTGGGCATTACGTCGAACAGGTTACGAGCAGTGTACGAGAGAGGTGAAGAAACGCATTCTACAACTTTACTTCGAGTTGAACGCGACTCTTTCAGTGAGTGGTGTTGCAAACTTTAATTCTTTTTTTTTTTAAGAGCAAATAAATACTATAATTCGTAAACCCAATTTTGTTCCAAAATCGAAAAAATTCCGACTGGAATCGGCGGACTTCGGAAATTTTCAATTGTTGCTCGCCTCAATTATATAAATATTGGTATTCTAATTGCAAGGGAAAAAAAACACATCCAATTTTGGAACATTAATCGGATATAAAATCGAAATCTCATATTATTACAATTTCGATCCAAATAATTTCGGCAAAATCGAAAGTCGGAAATTTGAAATTCGAATTGAAAAATATTATTCCAAAATCGAATTTTCGAATCAGAATGAGCGAAAATCGGAATAATTTTGTTCCAATTTCCCCCCTAAACACGACACATGAAATATGAGTGTTAAAATGACTAGTTTATTGTATTTAGTGCCTCCTCTAAATTGTTATAATACTCCTCTGTTTTATTTTATTGGCAAAACTCCTTATAATGTATTTTGTTAGCATAAAAACCCCTAAATAAGGAGTTTTTGTTAATAAAGTAACATTAATTTTTTCTAACAATTAAAAAAATTACAGGAGTTTGTAAATCCTTAAAAATTATGGACAGTAATCAAATAAAAATCCATATACCATATATATAATAATTGGGTAAATTACGTCTTACCCCCTAAGATAAGGTCAAATTACGAAGAAAAAAAACTCTCATGTTTGAGTAATTACAATTACCTTCCTCAACTATGAATTTTCTTACACGTCGACCCCTGTAGTGTCAAATTTAGTGGATTCTTCTAGATTATGTAGAATATTCTCATGTTTGTACCCGTTTTATCCCATTCCTTCATATTTTGAAACAAAATGATCATAAGATGTGGTTCTTGGCTTCTAAATATCAGATTGTGGTACATTAAAAACTGCATTTTTTTTACAAAACGATTACAAATTAGAGAATATTCCACAGAATTTAGAAGATTCTGTTAAATTTGACACTATAGAACGTATAAGAAGAATTATAATTAAGGAATATGATTATAATTATCCGAACATAAATTTCTTTTTTTACGTAATTTCAAATTTCACTTTATCTCAAGGCTAATCGTAATTTATCCTATAATAATTTGTTCATAATTCGAGGAAGCATGGAATACATGACCACTTTACTTAGTCACTAAGACATAATATATATATAATATATGTATAGATACAAATAAATACATACAAAAATAATTAATTGTCAGAGGTTTTTGGATTACAGTAAAGCACACAGCAGGCTCCCAATTCCTGTATTAGGTCCGACATTCATAATGCACTTGTTCCCTTTTCACACTAATTATTTACCTATTTTTTAATATTTCCCCTAATTTTCATTTTGCACCCTAGGTATAAGAATTTTTGCATAATACACCCCCAAATAAATCAAAAAATGATATAATGCACCCTGTCATTAAAATAAATAGGCGTATTGCACCTTTATGTATGAGAAATATGATACAAAATAAAATAGTTATTTTTCTATCTAAAAGTCACATTAATACAGTTACTCTATAAATTAATACAGTTATAACCAGTCATGTTCTTTTAATCTAGTAGAACTTTAATTTTAATGATGTAGTTTTTAACTCGTCGTCTTCTAGTTGGGGTTGAAAAAAAATATATTATTTAAACAAGGTTATTAATTTATCGAGATAATACTATATTTCTCTATAGACACAACTTTACCGAGATGAATTAATTGGTATTTTTCTTTCCTTTTATTTTCCTTTTTTTAGGTAAATAGCCTTTGACCCCCTACGGTTGCAAACTTTTGCAAATGATCCCATTGTGCTTGTAATATCAGCTCATAATCCCTTTGTGGTTAATAGGAATGGCTTCCGTTAGTTCATCTGTTAAAATTAATTGTGCATGTCACGTCAAAATACTATATTTTAAGACGATGAAAATCAAATTATCACTATAATTATTCATTTTTTTTCTTCTTTTTCCAGGATAACCCCAAGGGGTGTAGGTCTTTTTCTACCAATTGGGGCTCTCCCTTCACCGCCCCCATAGGGATGGTCTACAAGGTTCATAACTATTCCTCTTACTACAGGATGCTTTACCTAGCCCATCCATGGATCCGGCTCTACCAAAACTTTTCTAGTTCGCCCCAATATTCTCACCGTGTCCGACGGTTGTTGAACAGTTTTTTGATATCAAACGGACCTCCACACAAGGTATTTTTAATGTGGCCGATTTTCCCTCTTTTACAATCAGTTTCGCTACAACACCCGCTGCTCTAATTAATTGTCCACCATTTCCAAGTTTAATTCCTATGATGTTAAGTTTGACAGAAAAACCTAACCGACACTACATCTATCAGCCACAGGGGGATAATGTGCTGATATTACGAGCACGTCGATCTTCTGCAAAAACTTGTAATCACTGTTATTTACCATTTTCTTAATGAATTGTGTGATTCGCCAAATTAACTTTTAACTTGGGGTGAAAGCTTATTTTTTAACTTTTAAGGGTGCAAAATGCAATATAGCCTAATTTATCCTTTTCTTTGAAATATTATTAATAAAAAGTGTTTGAAATAATTAAGCAACGAAAATTAATTTAATCTCTTACACTAATCCCAAAACAAGTGACCCCCTTAAGTAAGCACCGCCACTTAACGGCCGTTACTGAAAATCAAAAGATTCAAACTCCACGTCAGTCTCACGTTAATCGTTACCACCCCCATTTGTCTCTGTCATTACTTTTTCAAGATTTAACGTACGTCTCCCTTTTTTCTGTTAAATGCAAGAAAAAAAAGTGCTAATCTTGATTATTATAAATTAAACTTGAAGAACAAATTGAAACGCGAATGAATATTAAAGAATTTAATAATAAAAAAAGGGACCCATTATTGGAAAATAAAAAAAGCAAAAAGGAAGGTTATTAAATTTCATTTACAGACAGAGGAAAGTTGGACTGATCGTCTTTCCTTCGTACGAGATTTTCTCCACATTTATTACCGAATTTTTGTACGCTGTTCATCACTAACTTTAACTTTTTACTAAATGGGATCTTGATTTTCTGGGTTTTTTTTTTTATGTTAATTATTTTATGCTACATTCTCTCAGATTTTGTTCTTGGCCCATTTGTTTATTTCAAGATTGGAAACTGAATTTTGGTGGGATTCGAAGTTGCCTAATGCTGGGGTTTGGTGATTCACTTCGCTTCTGAAAGTATTCATTTCATTTGTCGAGAAGAAGAAGAAGAACTCGGTTTCATAAACCCCTACTGCAAAATCAAGATTTCGTTTCTCCCCTTTTTTGTTTCTCCTCGGATTTTGGTACGTTTTGCATAATTCTCTCTCTCTCTCTCTCTCTCTCTCTCTCTCTCTCTCTCTCTCTCTCTCTCTCTCTCTCTCTCTCTCTAATTTATTGTTTATTTTATTTTTTAAGTTCTGAAAGTTGAATTGTTCTTGTGGTCTGTATGTATGTGTTTGTATGGGTGGGTGGATTTTTGGGGGAAATGAGGGTTTCTGTGTGTGTGTGTGTTAAAAGAGTGTTTTGTGTGTGTCTTTACTGTGTGATTTCGGTTTTTTGTTCTTACAATTTTGGTGATGAAAATGCTAATTCAAGATTTGGTATATATATAGGTTGATTTCAAATGATGAATCAGAAATCAAAATCCGATTCAATACCGGGGCTAAGATACAGGGCGGGGGGCGCCACCCCCGGCGGAATGCCCCCCGTTTCACGATTCCGAAGCGGGCACATGCCAGCCGGGATGACCGTGACAGCATCCACACACAACTTATCCGACTCGGAAATGGACACTTGCTCCGATTCCGAGGGAGACGGTCGTTACTCACTCGAAGCATCTCCTCAGGACGATAAAGTCACCTACGGTAGCACCAAACACCACACTTTCATTACTAGTAGACAAGGCGGCGGCGGAGTCTTGTTTGCCAACCGCGATGAATCTTCGGAATCTGTCTCGAGCTCGGGACTGAGTTCTACGCCACCACCACCTAGGGGCAAAAACGGTATTGTACTCGAGAAGAAGTTCAATGCGGGAGCTAATTTCTCCGGCATCAATTTGCAGGTTAGCATCTTTTTTTTTTTTTTTTTTTTTTTCGATTAATCAGTAAATTGTGGTCTTAATAATATCATATATGCTATCTAGATTTCTCATGTTAGTATTGTTTACAGGATTACCAAAATGCCCCTGTGAAGAATTATTACGACGATGATACCCCCAGCGCACCTCCACTAACCAGCTCTTTTCGGAATGTTACTGAAACTCCTACAGCTTCGAGAGCTGACGCTAAACCTTCGTTAGCAACGCAAGTTAATAATAATAATAATAATATTAGTACATCGGAAGTGTCTGTAAGGTACATTGTCTCGATATTCATTAAACATATTTAAAAAAAAAAAAATTTCTTGAATTAATATTATATATATTTTTCACAGGACTGATGCTGCTGCATCTTCTTCTCATCCTTTACCGGGTCGATTTCCTACTTTTCATGCAAGGTAATATGAATTAGGATTTTTCCTACTATTCGTAAAATATAATTATGTTTTTTTTAATTAAATGTTTATTGATTATCTAAATTATGTGACAACAGTGGACTAGGTCACTGGTGCTCGGTTCTCTCGTACGACGCATGTGTTCGTCTATGTCTGAATTCGTGGGCCCGCGGCAGTATGGAAGCTCCGACTTTTCTCGAAAACGAATGTACATTGCTAAGGGATGCATTCGGGTAAAATCACTTTGTTTTTTTTTCCGAATTTCTTTTTACTCATCTAAATAAATTATTAAATATTTTCCCATTCCGATTTTTGTAGGTTGAGGCATGTTTTATTACAGTCCGAGGAAGAACTGTTGAAAAAAGAGTCGTCGCTCGTTAGTGAAGGAGCTTCTGTAAAAACTAAGAAAACCATCGGCAAGATTAAAATCCAAGGTTTCCTATTATCTTTTAAGTTTTCTATACGATTAATTCGAATGTTTTTCTACTATAAAAAATCTTAATATTTTTTTTTTTTTTTTTTTTTTTTGTGTAGTGCGAAAAGTGAGAATGGGGTTGGACCCACCGACAGGGTGCGCGTTTGCTTCTTTAACATCATCGTCCTCCGTAAAGTTGGAATCTTTGCAGCTTCGACTATCGAATGTGAAATCTGTTGTCTCTTCTGAGAGGAAAGCATTAAAAAGACAACGAGTAAAGCCGATTATGACAGTGAATGGATCTTTATTACATCAAAGTATGGCTTATGTTGTTGTTGGTGCTCGTCGGTACTTAAGAGAAGTGCCTGAGCTTATCAAGAGTGGTTTTAATGCTTGGCGGAGCAGTTCGTCTTCTTACGAAGTTGTGCAAGGTATCTACTTTTTCGGACAATTATTTAAAAGATTTGACATAATTCTTCCTTAATTTTTCATAATTCTGTAATATATAATATAAAAATAAATGTGGAAAGTAGTGCAATTTATAAATAAATCGAATGTGTAAGTATGGATTCCTCGTGTTTTGCTTCTGTCTTCGTACAACTCCGAAAAGATGTAATTTTTCATTTTCTCGTTTTTGCTTTTTTGCTGAACGGGACATTATTTAATTTTTTATTTATTTTTATTTTCGTTACAGAATCGTATTACTGCTTGTTGAGATTGAAAAGTTCTCCCGAAGAGGATGCATTAAGAATGCAGCCAGGATCCGGCGAAAATCGTGTATTGTATGTTTTTTTTTAATTTCTACTTTTCAATTTTTGCTTTTTCAATATTAAATATATGGATAAATATTTTTTTTAATATACAGCTTGCCAGATGGACTGGGCGATGATCTAGTGATTGAGATACACGATTCGAAGGGAAAATATTGTGGCCATGCTGTACTTCAAGTGGCTGATATTGCTGATGAATCGGTATTTTTACTTATCATCTGAAATTGTATTTTTTTTTTATTATTATTTATTTATTTATTGTGATTTAATGCAGGGGGAGAAGCTTCGTTCGTGTTTTATATATCACGAACCGGAGCACGAGCAAGTTGGGAAAGTACAGTTACATATTAATTACTCAACTGCACCAGATGACAACAGTCACAAGGTATGCATGAATTTTTATATAGGAAAAAAGAAATGCAAAAAAAAAAAAAAAAAAAAAAGAAAAACGGAAGGAAAAAACAGTTCTAGTAGAGTATCGAGAAAAATAAAATAGAGGCTTAATTGTTCGAAGGATTAATTTTTATTTTCTTGATGACCTTCTTTATTGCATGTATAATATTATTAGGCCTCGTTTGGTTGGGGAGATTAGCCATGATTAACTAACTAACGGGACTTTGTTTGATGTTTGGCATCCCCAATATTTTTCTGGGCCGACCCGCAAATATGATGTTATCCTGCCTTTTAGACATGTTTTTTTTTTATTGGATCTTCCAAGGTCCAATAATGCAAAAATTGGGTTTCATTAGATTATTTTAATTTTATCTTGGCTAATCTTATCTTGGCAACCAAACAAGGCCTTATTCTTCTTCAACAACGCTCACTTCTTAACCGTTAAGCTTATCTTCTTTTCGATGGAAACTCTTTGTTGCCTTTCATGTAATACTCTCTAATTGTTAACAATTAGGGATTATTACATTAGAGGTGACAACGGGCTTTCATAAAACAAGAATAAGCTTAATCGTCGAGCAGTGGGCATTTTTTAAGAAGAATATACCTGCATTTTTGGAACTTCGGGTTTTCTTTTTTTTTTTTGGAAATATAAATATTAAATGATTCCTCATACAAAAACGTCGTGTGTTCGAATCCCACCGCCTACCATAAAAGCTTTTTGTAATGATATTGGGATGTTTTAGCTTTTATACTTAAGGGTATGATGTTCGAAAAAAAAAAATTATCTTTCGATTTTGGAATTATCTCGTCTAATAACATTTTGTTTTTTTACGTGTTAAAATAAAAAAAGTACGCATCGGTAGCGGAGACTATTGCGTACGACTGCGTGTTGGAGACCGCGATGAAAGTGCAACAGTTTCAGCAGAGGAACTTGTTGCTTCACGGTTCTTGGAAGTGGTTGGTGTCGGAATTCGCATCCTATTTCGGAGTTTCGGATGCTTACACGAAGCTTAGGTACGACTACGTTGTGGGTATTTTTCGTTTACGAGAATTCGTTTGGGTGCTAATTTAGTAAAATTCAATTTTAATTTTTAATTCTCGTTTCCTCCTCAGATATCTTTCGTATGTTATGGATGTTGCAACTCCAACTGCAGACTGTCTCGATTTGGTGCACGAGTTGCTCCTACCTGTCGTCATCAAGGGAAAAACGAAGCAAACTCTGAGTCATCAGGAGGTACATATTAGATTCCAATTTTGATTTTGGAATGGAATTGGAAAGAATACGTATTAGTTTCCGATTTTAATTTTCTAAATTTTCAAATCTATTCCGGAAACTACACTTGTAATTAGGGGTGCAAGTTGGAACGTAATTTCCAATGTCCGCCGGTTCCGATCCGAAATTCCGATTTCCGAAATTTCCTTATTTTTTTGGATTGGAATTGGAATTATATTAAATAAATTTGGAATTTCCGATCCGATTTAATTCCGAAAAATTTCGATTTTTTTCCGAAGAATACACCTATAAATAATATATATATTATATAATACTTATTTTTCCGAAAAATACACCTATAAGTTTTGTTTTAGGATTTTGACATAATGAATTGTTGTTAGAAGTTTTATTTGATATTATGCTGTGTTTATTTTTATTTATTTTTGTGAACTGATTAGTTGTTATTACTTTTACTTTTATCGACGCGGATGTTGTTATTTTTGAAAAATATAAACATTTTAGAAAATTTCGGCTAAGTTTTGAAATTTTAAAGCTTATAATGTGATTTCCGATTTTTTTTCCGAAATTCCAAAATTCCGGGCCTTTTGGAACCGGAATGAATTTTTAGATTCCGAAAATTTTGGAATTTGAATTGGAATTGATTTAGTACTTCCGATTTTTTTTTGGAAATTTTCTGAAAAGGCTAATTCTGATCCGATCCATCCGACTTTCTTTCCTACTTATGATATTCATATTTTTATTATGTATTATATATTATAGGTTACTGAAAAAGCAAAATTTCTAAATTCTGCCGATTTCAAACCAAAATTCCGAGTTTCAATTTTCGATTTTTCCGTTATTTTTTCCAACTGTATCGAAATTAGTTTTTTAAATAAAGAGAATTATTGTTGCAGATTGTAAACACCTCCTAACAATTTTTTTAATCATCTATTACCAGGTCCGATTATTAGGGGAAGTGTCCGAAGAAATAAACCAAATAGTAACATTAGTTTTCGAAAACTACAAATCACTCGACGAACTGTCACCCTTGGGTATGGTAACCGTGTTCGGGCCCGCTTCGGGCCTAGCAGCACCTGTTCTTACACCCGCTTTGAAACTCTACAAGCTTCTGCATGACATTCTTTCGCCCGAGGCACAGTCGAAATTATGCAGATATTTTCAGGTAATTTTTTTACGCTCGATTTTTTTTTCTTAATTAATTAATTAATTAATTGGGAAATATTTTTTTATTGCAGAATGCTACAAAGAAGAGGTCCAGAAGACACTTGTCGGAAACAGACGAGTTCGTTTCAAACAATACCGATAACATATTAATGGATCCGGTCGCACTTTCTACAGCTTATAAGAAAATGAAATCACTTTGTATGAATATTAGAAACGAGATTTCGACCGATATCGAAATCCATAAGCGAGATCTTCTTCCTAGGTAATTTGTTTCCTCTTATGCTATTTTTTATTTTATTTTATTATTATTTTTTGAATTTTTTTTTCGGTGTAGTTTTATAGACCTACCAAACCTATCGAGCTCGATATACAGCACGGAGCTCGCCAGCAGATTACGGGCATTTCTCGGTTCATGCCCTCCACCGGGGCCCACACCCCCCGTAGTCGAACTCGTCATCGCTACTGCCGATTTTCAAAAGGATCTTGATTTCTGGAATATTTGGTACTTTTATTTTATTTATTCTTATTTATTTAATTACTTATATTTTATTATTTTTTTAAAGTCCCTTTTAACTGCATTGCAGTTCGATTAAAGGCGGGGTTGATGCAAAGGAGTTGTTTCATGTTTATATAACCCGTTGGATCCAAGATAAACGTCTTTCTTTGCTCGAGTTTTGCAAGCTTGACAAGGTATGACCAACTATTATTATTTTTCTATTTTTTATTTTATTTTATTTTTATAATAATTTTATTCGATAATATGATTTTAGGTAAAGACAACCAGCTTTCCAGCTCAGCACTCGACAACTTCTTTCATCGATGAAACCTATCACCGTTTAAAGGATACACTTTCCGAATATGATGTCATAATCAGTCGATGGCCTGAATACACTTTTACATTGGAAATGGTATATATATGCACCCTTCTTTTTTCTTTTTAATAATAAGATTTTAATGAATTTGAAAATTCTAATTTTTTATTTATTTATATATTTCGATAAAAGGCCATAGCGGATGTTGAGAAGGCCCTAATCGAAAACTTGGAAAAGCAATATGCCGAAATTTTGTCTCCACTGAAAGAAAGCACAATGCCTATGAAACTTGGTCTCAAATACGTTCAGAAATTGGCCAAAGGAAATGTTAGTCCTTACAATGTTTCCAACGAGGTACGACGAGTTTTTGTAATTTTTATTTTTTATTATTTTTTTTAATCGACATTTAAGTTTTAATGGTTTTTTTTTTTTTTACAGTTGGGAGTTCTTTTGAATTCTATGAAAAGGATGCTCGATAATTTACGGCCTCAAATAGAAGTAAAAATAAAGTTATGGGGCTCGTGTATACCGGAAAGTGGGAATATGGTCACCGGAGAAAGTCTCAGTGAGGTGACTGTGATGATCAGATCGAAATTCAGAGTTTATGTGCAAGCCGTTGTCGATAAACTTATCGAAAATGTGAGTATGTTATACTTACGCATATTTTGCATATAATATTCCTAGGACTTGTTTGGTTGCCACAAGAAATTGGATCGGAAAGAAAAAAAATACAACTTTTTTTTTCGGAAGTGAAAAACTAATTCCAATTCCGTTATAAAAAATCGGAAAAATTGGAAATCAGAATCTCGGAAACTGGAATGAATAAAATGTTCCAAAATCGGATTTTTTGTTTTTTTAGCCACCTAAGTTATAAAATACATAATAATGTTGACATTTAAAGTGTAATTTTCGGACAAAAATCAAAATTTTTGGAAATTAAAATTGGATCGGAATTGACTCTTTTGTATGGTTATATATTTTAATTGTGTTATATTGATACATTTTTTTTTATTCGTATGCAACAGACGAAATTGCATAATGCGACGAAGTTGAAAAAGATAATTCAAGATGCTAAGGAAAATGTGGTGGAATCGGAATTAAGGCTGAGAATGCAGCCTTTGAAGGAATTGCTTACCGATACTATCAATCAATTGCATGCCGTTTTCGAAACTCAAGTTTTTGTAATTGTTTGCCGAGGTTTTTGGGATCGAATGGGCCAGGTAATTTTTGTATATATATATATATATATATTTGTTATACATTCGTTTTACGTTTTCTAATTAGGGTTTATGAATAATGCAGGATGTGCTGAAGTTTCTAGAAGATCGAAAAGAAAACAAGTCGTGGTATAGAGCTTCGCGAGTTGCAGTTACGGTATGTCTGTTTTACAACAATGTCTTATTCCAATTTCGAAGATGGGATTTTAATTTATTTTAGATTGATTTTAATTTTTTTTTATTTGTTTAATTATTATATCAATAATATTTTCATTCCTGATCTTTCATTTCCCTTGTATGAGTTCTAACTCATGTCTTACATTTCACTCCCGAATTTGGAACGATTATTTTCATTTCGATTTTTTGATTTTCTGAAATTTTATGATCGGAGTCAGAATTATATATGAAGTTATGGAATTTCCCTTTTTTTCTAAAAAATATATTTATAATATTAATTCTAGTATATTATGTACTTAATTATGTGTATGAGTTGAATAAAAAACAAACTGTATTCTGTTGATTCCGATTCGAAAATTCAAATTTAATTCTCATTTCCGATTTTCTCAAAAATATTGGGATTGGATTTGGAATTAAAACTTTTAACTTCTAAGATAAATCATTGTTTTTAAATGCTAATAGTGATTTGATTAGTCCGATTTACACCCTTAGTGTTGATTGATGATATTATTTCTCATTGCCTGTTTTTTTTTAAATTACCAACGTTTCCTCGTCAATTAATTTTTCAGGTACTAGACGACACATTCGCTTCACAAATGCAACAATTGCTCGGAAACACACTACAAGAAAAAGACGTGGAACCCCCACGAAGCATCTTGGAGGTGAGATCCATGCTTTGTAAAGATGCCACCAACCACAAGGACAACAACTACTACTATTAGTATGTCTACTAATTCTTTTGGTAAATACGAGATTGAAACGAAGGGTAAAATGGTCTTTTTCCTCGCCTAGACGGATGAGGGGAAAAAAATGGATGCTCGATTTTTTATTGTTTGTGAATTAGAAAAAAGCCAACCCTCATGGCTATTTTTTATATATAGAATGTAATTTTGGGAAGTGAATAGAAATACTTTGATGCATTGAAATTCTTCTTGTATGATAATTGTTTCAAAAGCTTTTTAGAGAAAAATGAGACTGATGATGTAAAGGAACATATATAATGAGTTGGAAGAAGTTAGTTGTTGTTCTACACTAATTTATGAGATCTAGATTTTTTTTTTTTTTTTTTTTTTTTTTTTTTTTTTTTTATCTTTTTCCATTTTTATTGAAAGAATATCATTGCAATTGAGTTTGAGTAGTTTGATAGTTGGGCAAATTACGGCCACCCCGTCTGAGGTATGGTCAACTTACGAAAAAATTCTCATGTTTATTCTCATGTTTAGGTGACTGTAACTATCTCTAATTACGTATTGTGTTAGACGTCTACTTTTATGGTGTTAAATTCACCTAGTGAAGAAGGGGGATTTTCGTAAGATAATACATAGTTGAGGGGGTTGTTGTAATTACTCAAACAAGAGAGAATTTTGTAATTCATGATAGCCATAATTTGCCCTTTATAGTTACAGGATAATATAAATTAGCTTGTGCATTGTTTTCTATTTTTTAATTAAAGCAACATGGTCTATTGATCTTGAAATAAATCATTGGTAATATTTTTTATCAAATAAGAAAATGTGGGTGTCAAGCAAAAAGCTTAATTCCACTTTACACCCTTAAAATATATTGTTTTGACACTTTGCACTCTCGAAACACAATAATATGTTCTTTATGCCTCTTTAAAATTTGGGATTTGTCAAGTAGCTCTCCACAAATAGGAGTCACTTAACAATGTATTGTGGGACCAAGTGATTTCTTTATTATTTTCTTACGTTTTGCAACTCGTTTCTTTTTAATAGTTTTTTACTTTTTTATTTATGTATATGAATAAAATCATTTATTGCCATTATTTTATAAATAAAAAATATGTATTACATCCATTGATTTCTATATATTCATTGCACTACAAAATTGTAAATAAAAATATGTATTATATCCATTATAAATAAAAAAAATATTTGATTTCTTTTCTATTAAATCTTTATTTATGTTTTGCATGTATCCAACAATTTTATTCGGACTCATTTATAATATTTTATGTTATTCATATTTATGTTAATTTATGTTACATGTAAATATTTAGATTTTGTAAATACAATTTATAATAGACAAAAATAAATAATTCATAACGTAGTTAAACATTATTTTAATCAGGAAAATAGTTTAATTCAAAAATTAATACAAATTAATGATGATTATACATTTTACCAATTAAATGTAAAAAAATAAAAAAATATAATTTCATAATTACTATATTTATAATGAATATTTTATTAGAATTTAATATTTGAGGAACCATTCTAGGGAAGAACAAAAATAACCCATTGGAGTAGTTTGAAATTTGAAGAGTGTTTAAGTGGGACCCATTGTTTAAGAGGAGTTTATAAAATGTGTAGGTGGCATGTGGGACCCACATTTCGGGGAGGGGTTTTGGGGAGGAGTAATATGGATGCTCTTAGGGTTGAAGAAAAAAAAAACAAAAAACAAAAGAAAACATGATACCATGATTTGACATTTTGTTTTTTGTAGGGAAAATGAAAGTTGGCATGTAAAGCTTGCAATGGAATTAAAAAAATTTGCAGAGGAGGATTGTAATATCAATCTTAACTTCATGTAATGCTGCTGCCTTTGATTTCTTATATTCTAAATTGCTCAAACTAGCACCATAACTATTTGAGTTTTTTTTAGAGATAGTTGATTTTAATTTTTATGTTTGGAGATTAGGAATTTGATCATGGGATTGCAGTAATTAATTATTATGTGTGACATATGCTTTTTTTTTTTTCAATATTTAGTAGATATAAATTTAATTGTTGAGTGTTTGAATTTTATGATAATGTTAATTCATTTTTTTTTACAATAAATGTCAATATTGTTGGTTGTAATTAGTTATGGATAGTGACTCGCATGGTACTGATATTGACTCACCCTCAAACACCATTACACCAAGATAAATAAATAATAATAATCCAGTGCAGACTAGCACTCCGACTCTGAAGGGCATCTCTCCCCTTCTGAGCCAATTTCCGAAGATGACCCGCTTCGTTCTGAATCTTCAGATTCCTTCACAGGCTCTCAACTTTCTGTCGGTACTTGTTTCTCTCCCATTTTCTACTATGAACTGGCTCAAGAAAATTGGGAAAGTTTGAGTAAACGTGTGTGTTTTCCTGAGCGTGTTCTCTCTCGCTTAGGTGTTAGAATCCTTTGAATTCTAATTATACGAGAATTAAATGAAACTTGTGCCACAAGTTTGCATATACCGTGAGCTAAAGAAGGGAAGAGTCCTTGTACTTTTTAATTCTTTTAATTTGTCATTAATTGATTTATAATAGGAATTATTCTTCTAAAAAGTTATTCTTATTTTAACCCAAGACTTTCTTGTGTGCAGGTCTCTTACTATTAGAACCAAAATTGAATTCTAATTATTCTCAAAGTCTTGGGCAACAAGCCTTGTATGTGCCGTGTGTTTTTCTAAAAAGGAAGGAGTGGTTCCATTGGTTTATATGTTGTCATTAATTGTGATATTATTTTATTTGGGAATTAGTGTTTGAATAGGAGTTAATATCTTTTGATAAGATTTATATCCTAATATGCCTGATACGTATTTTGCATTAGACTCTTGTAGGATTCTTTATCAGGCTTATAAAAGTGGAGCAAATAGATGTTAGTGTTGTGCGTGCATTTTTGAGAGAAATATTTTCTCTTTTCTGTGTTGCTCCCGGAACGTTTTTTTCATCGAGAGAAAAATATACAGAGAAAATATTCTTGGCTCTCGTTTTTATTGTTCCATCGTGATACGTGATTTTCATAGAAATTATACCGGCTTCAAGGCTTTGTGTTGAAGACACCAAGATTCAAGGAATATCACAAGTTCGCTTCTTCTATACAAAAAGAAGATCGGTTCTTCGGGAGAGGGGTTTAAACAGATCTCGGGAGAAGATCGATCCGCCGACTGAGGGATTCAGCGGTGAAGGGAGTTCAACCGTGCGGAGCAAGGGACGTGCTGAAAATTGAAGATTTATAATTCAGCGTAGTATACAAGAACGGCGTCAACAAAGAGGGAGTCTTTGTATTTTGATTAAGTCCTATTATTGTATTCGTAAAACTAAAAATTAGTAAATTTTATTTGCAGGTCCCCGTGGATGTAGGGTACAATTGTATCCGAACCACATTAAAATTTGTGTCTCGTTTATTTCTGTTTTTACGAACTGCTTCACGAACTGTTGCAACACTTCACGCAACAGTAACGAAAAACTGAATCTGACACAAATAATTTATATCTGCACGAAATAAATTCTAACATTAGGGATCTTTCGTTTACTCAAATCTCAAGGTCTGTTGGGAATTATAGTGAGTGCACAACCTTATGATAGGTATGTGATTGTCGAATTTTATGCCAACTTGTCTGATCGTTTCTCTGTTGTGGGGTCTCACGGTATGGAAAAGTGTTTGTTAGGGAACAATTCTATACTGTGACTCCTGACTTGATAAATGAATTCTATAAGTTCCTATGCCTCTACCAAATCTGCAGTTTCCATAAATACCCTGGCTTCTGTGCTCACATCCAAAGTATTGAAACACTGGCCCGAACCCAAAACAGCTTTCCATGTTTTGAAATGCAACAATTGCTCGGAAACGCACTACAAGAAAAAGACGTGGGACCCCCACGAAGCATCTTGGAGGTGAGATCCATGCTTTGTAAAGATGCCACCAACCACAAGGACAACAACTACTACTATTAGTATGTCTACTAATTGTTTTGGTAAATACGAGATTGAAACGAAGGGTAAAATGGTATTTTTCCGTAAAAATATGTTTGGGTAAAAATTGAATAATTTATGAAATTTGGTTCTAATTAAGGTTAGATTGAAATTAAATAGTGAAATTGGAGCATATGAAAGTATGATAGGCTATTTTAGTATTTTACAAACCTCTGGTTCATGTGTGAATTTTTTTTAAAGAAATTTATTATATGAATCTCTTTATAAATAAGTACCCATTAATTCACTTATTTGCAAAATGTGCACACATAAATAATGAGATTGTGGAGAGGAGACAAAGTTAGGTCCACACGTTATTGTCCTAACTCCTACGTCATCAAACTTGCCTAGCAAAACAAGTACAATCATACGCGGCTACGCCCAACATGCGATCTCCGTTCTCCTAACATTAGATTTTTCAATTATTGTGCTCAAGTTTTTTTTTTCTTTTTTTTGATCAATTATTGTGCTCAAGTTTACTACTTTTCTATTAGTTTATTATCCTTAATTATTTTCTTGTTATTATGCATAATAAGTGTGTTTTTAAGTACTACCATTCTCGAGAATAGAGATAAAAAATTAAAAAAAAAAAAAGAAAAAAAAAGAGAAAAGAAAGTACTAACACTTGTTCCCGCATGGGATGATCTGGCGGTTGGAATAAGTACACTTATGCCAATTGACCCAAGTTCGAATAATCTTGTCAATACCTATAGAAAAGTATTTATGATTTGTTTTATTTAAAAAAAGAAGAAGAAAAAAAAAACAGCTGCTGGGAGAATATGTGACACTGTGAACGAGAAGAAACATGTTAATTATATACTTCAATACGTTGCTCCCGTTCTGCAGGGCAAGATTCCTTGAAGATCTTCAAGTGAGCTTCCAAATTTTTTTATTTTTTTTTTAAATAATTTGAGGAACATCATAACACATATTGAAATTATTGTACTCGTTTGTATATTCATCGTCAAATTCTTCGTCAGAATCAATCACCATGATCACCCTCAAGGACGGAACCAAAATCAAAATGTAGGGGGACCAACTAAAATTTTGGAGTTCGGGGCAGCGCCCCGAAAAAAAAATTAGATTCACAAAATATTGCCAAAAAAAAGTTTATATTACTAATTTTTAATTAACATATCATAAGTATATTTTATTTTAATCATCACAAAAAAATCTAAATTAATTCTAATTATTCTAATAATCTATTGCACTTAATATTTCGGGGATTCATGGCATTATCTCATCTTATTTTTTTAAAGGCATTGATAAAAAAAAATTCAAAAATAAGTAATATTCTTAAATTTTTATTTAAAATAATACAAGTTTAAAGCATCTTACTCCATCCATGCTAAAAGATGTGTCGCTTTGGGTTATTGTGCACATATTAAGAAAACTAATAAATGTGCGTCGATTTTAGAGAAAAATATATAAAATGACTAGAATATCCATGTTATTAATGTTGTTTCCATTAATTCTATCTCAAATAATGAATAGTAATAAGGGCAAAATTGAGAAAATAATAATTAATGCATCGTTGAAATTCTAAAGTGATAGATAATTTGGAACAAGAAAAAATTCCCAAAGCGATAGTTAATTTGAAACGAAGGGAGTATTTTATATTTTATATTAAATATAAAATATTTGTCTATAATTTATAGGGTTAAATACAAAAACACCCATGTACTATGGACTTTGTATCATTTACCCCCCTGTACTACACATAAATACAAAAACCCCCCTGCTATTATATTTTTTTCAAAGTATGACGAAAATACCCCTGCTAAACCTATAAATATAAGGGTTTGTTTGAGCCATTTTCCACTATATTTTTTAACATTTTCGGTCAATTTTACTTGGGAATTTTTTTTTTTTTTCCTTCAAAACATTTAATTACTTAGATTCTTTTTTTTTAATTTTCTGAATAAAAACCTTTTATTTTTTTCATTTTGAACTTATTCATTTTTTTCTTAAATGTCTTCCGGTAGTTCAAATTATCAACAATAATAGGATTGTAAAGATGTTTGTAATCTTAGGATGTTTGAACTAACGGAAGACATTTAAGAAAAAAAAATGAAGAAACTCAAAATGGCAAAAATAAAAGGTTGTCTTTAGAAAATAAAAAAATGTAAGCAATTAGATGTTTTGGAGAAAAAAGTATAAATATCAAAATTTTCAACGTAAATTTGACCGAAAATGGTAAAATATATAGTGGAAAATGGCTCAAAATATATATATATATATATATATGCTTGAGTAGGGGTATTTTCGTCATATTTTGGAAAAAATGCAATGTGAGGGGGATTTTTGTATTTATGTGTAGTACAGGGGGGTAAATGATACAAAGTCCATAGTACAGGGGTGTTTTTGTATTTAACCCTAATTTATATAAGATTATGGAGAAGAAACAAAAAAAATAATGGGTTAAGACACATATTTACAAAAACTTTGGGGAGCCAAAAGTAATATTGAAAAAATATAATACCAAATATATATATTTTCTTGGGGGTGGGTTCAACAGCCTTGAAAGGAAAAAAAAGAAAAAAAGAAAAAAAAGGAAAAAAAATAATTTAATTAAAGGGCATCGTAACTCGGGAAAGGAAAATTTTGTGTAATTCCCGTAATTATTAAATATTTAATAAATAGAAAAGAGCAAAACGCACTCGTGAGGAAGTTGTAGGGCCGGCAATCTAGTTTATAAACCTCGATCGAACGTTCAGTTTTACATCATCGTCTAAAGTATTGATTGAGATGGGTGGTAGGAGGTTGGTGTCTCTTCTGTTTTCCCGAGCCGGAGTTTCAAATTGGATATGCCGGCGGCGGATGAGCACGTTGAGCGTCTCAGATGGATCTTCTCGGTCGACAAAGGTCTTGCCTTGGCTGATGCTACCGCCAGCCGTCGAAGGCGGCCAAGTGACTCACAACTTCTACAGCCTCGGCGAGAGCAGAGTATTGAGCATCAGAGGCGGCGGCGATGGTTTTAACATCGACGACACAAAATTCGTGGGATCTTCAAAGGGTTGGCTAGCTTTGTTGAATAAGACCAACGACGATCTGTTGCTCACAAATCCCCTCTCCCAACGCCACCTTAAGCTTCCGCCCGTCCCATTGAACCCTAACAACATATTCGGGTGCGTAGAAGGTCTCATCACCTCATTCTCTCCCAACGAAGAAGAAGAAGAAAACTGCCGCGCAATGATGATTTACGGATATGAACTAGCATTTTGCTGCCCCGGCCGCAGCACTGAGTGGACTCCCATTGGATCTCGTCTTACCAACGACGGCTTTAATGGGTCCGAGGTGGTTAGAGTCTACGAGTCCTTTGTCTACTCCGCCGCACAAGAGTTGTTCTTCTGCGTCACCGAGAACAGCGATTTCGAGGCTTGGGATCTGCGTGACCCGCACTCTCCGGTGATGATTCCGATGAACGACTTGTCCGCGGACCCGGAGATGTACCCCGTCGCCTACCGTTCCCGTGAAGAGTTGGTCATGAAATATTTGTGCAGGATGATGAGATCCCTCGTCGTAGACGAGAAATCCGGTCAGCTTTTTCTGGTGATTAGGTTCGTGGCTAATAACGTGGACTCTAATGGCTCCTTTGTTTCGCCCGATCTCTGCTATGATGAAAGTTTACCTTACAAGACTATCGATTTTGATGTTCATAAATACGATCCGGAGAGCAGAGCATTTATGTACATGGATCATGGTTCTTCGTTGGGAGGGGACGACGACGGTCTGGCCTTATTCATAGGTACAAACCACAGCTTTGCCATCTCAGCCAAAGACTACCCGGAGGGATTTGTGAAACCCGATTCTATTTACTTTACTGATGATCTTCTTAGGAATGACTTCGATGATGATGACGAGCTTGATTATGGTGGGCATGACATCGGCATTTTCAGCTACAAGGATCGATCTTTCTCACCCTGCTATTACCCGTCTGATGCCAAGAGCTTTCGAAGGATTTCACCCTCTCCAATGTGGTACACTCCCACCCCACCCCTCTAGTACTTCTCTTCTATTCGCCTTGTTGTATTTTTTTAAGTTATTTCAAACTCTTGAGTTTCTTTTTCTGAATTGGCATTTCATCATATTGATTCACTCTTCTTTTGTTTTATGTTATATTTCATGTCTCCGTTTATTATCTTCCCTGTTTCTTCTAGATGCTATTAGGGCAGTACATCTATGTTTCATATATATGATTGCTCACATAAGCTATCGAGTCAAAAAAATCAACCGCAATTACAAAATGGCAGAACTTGGTGTCTTTGTGTGAGGATATATATGGATATGAATTTGCAACTAATCAAAACACTCAAAATAGAGTAGCAAAAGAAAACCAAAACCAAAGTCCTACTAGCAAAAAGAAATTGGCAAAACGCCTAAAAGACGAGCAAAATAAAGCTAGAACAGGAAAACAAAAAAAACAAAAAAAGGAATTGTTAGCCATTCAAGGTCTCGCGCATCTGCTTGCGGCAAAGCAAAACGACATCCCGATACGTCGCTGTATCTTCAACCCTTTTCACAGCACCCTCCTCCGCCTTCTCCTTGGCCTGATGATATTTTGCCTCGAGTTGCTCATATGAAGCCTTCCACTCCATACGTTCCTTCTCCAGGTTTGCTTTCAAAAGGGAAATCTGTGTCGACTGCTCCGTGCACCGATTACACATATCAATGTACTGGCTGTTCAACTGGATGTACTCCGCCTTGACCTTCAATAAAGCTCCTTTTGCTTCCTCCACATGCATAGAAACGAGGTCGGCAAGGGTGATACTCTTTTAGAGACATTGACAAGACGAGAATTATTAATTATGCATGAGAGGACTGAGACCGTCTAATATAAGATGAGTAAATAAGCATGTGATTGATGCAAATTGTGAATAATGAACACTACTTACTCTAGCCGAATTCGCATGTATCGCGGCAATAAGTTGGTCAATCGGTTTCTTTGATAGGCGACACATATCGTACTCGGTAGAAACTGCCCGAGTCCTGGCCACAGCAAAATCATCATCCGATGGGTCCCAAAGTGTCTCCACGCCATTTACCTCGGATAGGAACAAACCTTTGCCACCACGAGTGCATGCTGAAGATTCACCGCCCGGGCGCTTCTCCAATCCCTGGATTACCTCCTCCTCAAAACAGTTGTTGCGCCGCTGAAGGCCATCATCATCATCATCATCATCATCATCACCAACTTTCAAAGTATCAACCCGAGTAGGGCGTGACTCGGTCTCTTGTTTTTGCTTCTTGGCTCGAATAGAGGCAAAATCGATCTTCCCACCTGAAAAGGGAAGGGATAATATCGTCAAATAAAGTACAAGAACATGAAGTGAAAAATCAACAATTTACCATCAAGAGCCAATTCCAATGGGTCAAACATAGAGTCAAACAACCCACTGTCGGCACACTGTTTTTGCAACTTTCTCATATCTATTGTTTTGAGAGTATTACACACTTTATTTTTCCTCCAAGTCACGGGAATTCCCCAATTGTCATCTCGTACATAAAAAAATCTTTCTGTCCAGTCCTCCCAACTCGTGGAGCTACGAATCAAAAATTTGCAATTAGCACGGGGACAGAAGTAGAAGAACTCCCGATTCTTCCGCATTAAGGAAAACAAGGCATAAAATAATTCCACACTCAATGGTAGCCCAATCTCCTCCACCCGATGACAAAAACCTCGGAAGAATAAGATAGCACTCGGTGTAAGTTGCGCCATGCTAATACCATTGTCCGTACATATCTCTATGAGTAGAGGATGGGGCGGAATTGTCAATCCAGCACTCAAGTGAGCAACATAGACGGTGAAAAATCCAGTAGGCGGTTCTGCAAGCCTATGGCCTTTTGCTGGGACCGCAAACACAATTCCATCTTCCAAATTAAATTTATCACCAATTACTTGCAAGTCAAATTCTGTAAGGATGGTGTCACGTTCCAACAGCGGGGGTTTCACTTTCACCGGGTTCTTTGCCTCTTTTGATCGCGGCGAGTTCCGACCAACATAGCCCCCACCACGGGCTCTAAGGAACTTACCTCGTTTATTCCCCGGAACCGAACGACGGCATGCCTTGCTAGAGCTCCTCGGTCCATCGCTCCCTGAGGAAGTACTGCTCGGTTCACGCATCATCCAACGCTCGCTCTCAGCCGTCCTTCCGCCCACAGTTTTTTTCCCGCCCATACAAACTTCACGATTTCCAGCCACGCCGAATCCACGACAATAATCATCGCCAGAAAATTTCATAAACCCTAATGGCTCTGAACTACTAATCACATCAATCGGTAATTTTTGTTTATCTTCAACCGGACTTCTAGTCGCCATGACCCTTGTAAAAAACTAACAACGCTTATTAATGTGAAGAGAAGAATTTGCATTATAATTTATAACAAAGGTAGAGAGATATAATAATAATAATAATAATAATAGTGAAAATGCTACGCGTGTAACAAAGGTAGACACATAATCTAATGAGTAAACGCCAAGTGATTTTTCATTGCAACACGTGTATGGTATTTAGGCTTATTGCAATTTGTCTTATGGTCCATTTGGATGGAGGGATTTGAAATTCATAATAACAAATTCCTTCTCTTTTTTAGTTGTTTTTTGAGCAATTGGTGTGGATTTCAAATGACTCCAAATTTTGAGTCATCTCAAATTCCTTCCCCAAATCAAATCCTACTCCAAATCCCTCCATCCAAATGCACTCTTGCATTTTTCGTCCGATTGTTTCGGTGGAACCTTTCAATCATCTCAATTTATTTTCGTTTCCATATTTATTCCATTAATACTTCTTTTAATAGAGAAAGATCCAAACTATTTTGCACCATTTGAGAAGATCCCACTCTAAATTTCTGTCATTTATTTTTCCATTTATGTCCCTCCACCTTACACATCCCCATGACCCACCAGCCCACGATCCCATGACCGTGTCTTTCTCTCTCTCTCTTTTTTCTTTTTTTTTTATTATTAGTTTTTTATTACTGTTAATAATTTATTATTACTATTATTATTATTTTTTTTAATTTTCTTTTTCGTTTTTAACTTTTTCTCTCTATGAGATATGTTAATCGACTATAAAACATATTAAATCGACTAAGATGAACTATAGTCAATTAAGGACTACTAAAAATAACAAATCACAACTACAAAAATGCAAATTCAACTACACTCACAATATACAAACATTATAATTGATTTATACAATTCAAATCAATAAACAAAAAAAAAAAAAATTGGAGCCAATGAAGCATATTAATCGACGATGATGTGAAGCATAGTCGATTAAAAATCTGCTACTAAAAATAACAAATCACAACTGAAAAAAATGCAAAATCAACTACATATTACAAAACAAAAAATATACAAACATTATAAATGATTTATACAATTGAAATCAATAAACAAAAAATTCAAAAAAAAATTAAAAAAACTGTAGTCGATCAACCTTAATCGACTATCAGAACATAATCGATTAGCTTAATCGACTATGAACATGTACATAGTCGATTAAGGTTTCAGCATGCGCGATCCAAAAAAACCCAAAATCAGCCTCCCCATCGTCACCACACCGTCGGACTTGGTGAGAGTTTTCTTTTCCCAAAGGCTAAAAATCTGAATGCGATAATTACAGTAAGAAAGAGAGAAAGGAGAGCATATATCCAGATTTGTCTATGAATTACCTGTTCTTAGCGAAGAACTCCTTGGCGGTGGCGACGGAGCAGACCACCACCGACAACTTCAAGCACACCAGCTGCGAGAACGTCTCCAGTTCCCGCATCGTTCCCATGGGGTTTCTGCGGTCAGAACGGCGGCGGCGGCGGTGGAGGGGATGTCGAGCGTGTACGACTCGTTGGCGTCGTGTGCGGGCGCGATGGTGGTGTCGGCGACTGTGATTGTGAGGGTTTTGAGCGGCGAAGACGAAGTGAGGTTGGGTGGTGGAACGACGAGGGGACGGAGGTGGTCGGTGAGGATGTGACGGCGATAGCGGTTGATCCGGAAAAGAAATCGGCCCAAAATCAATGGGGCCTCAGCCAGCCCAAGTCAAAATAAGATGCTATGTAAGCCTTTTTAGGCCCAATGAAGACAGGGCCGAGGCCCAAACCCTCCTCGAGAGCATCAATCTCCCGAGGAGACTAATACCCGAGGGGCTCGTGGGTCCCCTCTAAGACCTTTTTAGCGGCGGCAAAAAAGACTGCATTAATGACAACTGAAAGCCATTCTTTATGCCTACATCGGCACATTAACTGCCCTGACATTTGCATTTAATGTTCGAATGACTAAAAGGCCTGCCGCTGATGAAAAGTCTTTCAGCCAAGCTAGCCTGTAAAGCCAGGAAGGAGGCTGCCATAGCCCTCTCGAGGGGAATGATGTCTAACGTCGCCGGGAGAAGGTAGGAAGACAGTCATCCCGACGGCGTGCCCGATTTTTCCGGAAGAATCCAGGTCAGAATATTATAAATATCCACCTGCATTCGATAGGTAAAGGCAGGTAAGAGTCCCAAAAAACTTACATTATATCCTCCACAAAAAACCACCATAAACAATCACTGACTTGACCGTCGGAGTGCTAACTCCGGCGTCAGTCTGGCTCTCTCTCTGGTGCAGGATAACAGGTCGGTAGCACAAGTTAAATCCTGGACCCTTCGAATCATACGGTTCATCTTCCAAGGGTGGTTTTGGGCGAATCAGCGGTGTACAGCGTGGGAGAGGTAGTGGTGGTGGTAAGGGGATGATGGTGGTCTCATGCATAATCTTTATATATAAAATAAAGGTTTTGCCCAAAATTCTAGAAGTAATTTTATAAATAATTGTAACCATAGGGGTATTTTTAATAATCTTTATATATAAAAGATAGAGTTTGCCCCAAACCCTAGAAGTAATTTTGTGAATAATTGTAACCCTAGGGGTATTTTTGGTACATAATAATTTAATCCTAAATTTTTTTATTCTTCTTTTTTTCTTTTTTTTTTCACGTTCATTAATCATTACATATAGTTTTTTTTCTTTGTTTTATTCTCATTTTTTTCCCATTTATTTAGGCATGTTGATGCAAGTGTTTTTTTTTTTTTTCCTTTTCCTGATTTTTCTGAGGAAACTGCCGACTTCTATTGAACACAATCACTAATTTTTTTTGTTTTTTTTTTTCTAACGTTTCAATTGGCCAGTGTGTGAAAGCCACCTTCCCCACCTTACTTCTATGTAAAACTGTTTCAGGACTCAAGAGAAACTTATCTACACGAACAAATAACCGCCAAAGTCGTAGAAGAAAAGCGATTGTGCAAAACTTGCACTAGTAAAAAAATAACTTTTTACTACGATTATTAACCGTAGCAAAAGATATCAAATTCGTACTAAAAGAAATCGAATTTTTAGTTAAGCCGTTGGTGCTAAACACGTCTTAATTTTGGGCCCACATTTCGAACCCATGGACGGCCCAAACACAGCCCACAGCTTACTCACAAGTTAAAACAAGCTTGTGATATATACCACACCGTGACCGACAAATGAGCACCCAGAGTTGATCCATCTAAAATCACACAGGTGGGTAACTGTATCATTTCTTCCCTCCCCCTCAGCGCTCTCATCTTTGGTTCAAAACCCTCGTTTCTGATTGTCTGTCTCCTCTCTAAATTTTGCTCACCAAACGGCGTCGTTGCCTCCGGTGGTCGCTGCTAGCCGGCGATCATAGCTTTCATCTGTAATCTGTAAGAACTCTTCATTCTGCCTTTCTTACATTGTGCACAGACTGAATTTATACACACACACACACACACACACATATATGTATATGCGTGTGTGAGCACCGGTTTATACTGGTTCTGCACTCTGTATTTCCCATTTACAAAGATATGAAACATTAATCCTCGTTTGTCTCCGTTTGACTAATATGGTTTATTGCTTCTAGAGATTACTTTTTTTTTTGAGGTAAATCAAATGCAATTATAGGTGTATAGCTGCTGATTTTTATATTATGTCCGACATTTTCGCTAGCACATGATTTCATGTATGAGTATTTGCTTTTCGGGCGTATGAGTGTGTGGGTGTTTTCAGAAGAGAGTAAGTGTGTTGTAGTAATGTATGAATTATGATTTCTTTTTTTGGCAGAACTTTCGTTAAAGAGAAAAAAAGGCAATAATGGGCAACGGTCTGACTCCATATTCAGAAATCGGCAGGCGCGCTAGAGGTAAACTTTTGAGAGGGTATTATTATATGTTAGTTAGTTACCCAAAGTTTCATATGCACTCATATTCTAGCGGTAATTTCAAAAATTGTGGTTTATATTGTGTTATGTGTATCAAATGTTTATTTTCGTGATGGTTCATTTGTCTGTGCGATATGTTTAATGTGGATTACTCTGATTAGTTGATTTTCAGTAATGATACGTATTTGGTATTTAGTAGGTCGAGAATATATGATGTCTTTATTGCAATTATTCAAGTCGTACGTGGCTAGAATATTTGTATGTGAAATTCTATTTGGGATATCAATAACCTCCACATGTTTGATTCGGGTACCACTTACGTAATTCACATAATCCCATTCTATTCTTTCACCAGTTTTTCCTAAGTTTCAATGATGGCTAAGTGCCTGCTTTCTGCTGCTAAAGCTTAATTTTAAATTTGTAGTATTGAGGGTTATAAGTTCTTGTTTTAGTATTATTTGAAATCACATGCTACACGAACTGTGGTCGTAGTTGTCAAGCGAAGCTCTCTTCATCTGTTTTGTATTCTTCAGTGTAGTTCATGCATAAAGCAACTGAGGTCCTATCTGCATAAAGTTGTACGGAGAGGAAAATTTCTATCATTTTAGTTTTTCGGGGTTGCTGATTTATACTTCACCTCCAAGTTCCACCGGAATGGTACAACAATATCTTGTACTTGCATTAGCTTTATGATGCAACTTGCCTGTCGAAGCTTCAATTTTCTTATATGATCTACATGGGATGTCAAAGAAATTTATTTTGACATGACATATAACAACGAGTTGAGTATGGATCAAGCTTTAGTTTCTGCTGTATTTTTCACTGATCTCTATTGGATAGACGAAAGATTTTGTTCCATTTTTTTATTTATTAAAGTAATTACCAACTGGACTCAAAGCTAGAATGATAGATCTGCTTTTTGATTGCATTTCATACGCTATACGATAAACATGGAAAAACTATTTGCCAAGTTGTTTCAATTATCAATTTTAAAAGATTCGGTTGTAGGTGGCCATTTTTTCTGCTCTACTTAGATTTGATTATCTGGAATTTAACTAGTTAGTTGCATATACAATCATACAAAACTATACCCGGAAATGCAAAATTTAATCAACTGCTCCACAATATTAACTGTAGTTTGTCCTTTTGACAGGCACTTACAGCTACTGGTATAAAGAAGGATCAATATTAGTTGGTGACCTAAGTACACAGTACAGAAGTAGAAAAACTAAACTACTGTTGATGTTAAAGTTTACACCTATTCGAAAGTAAGAAAATCCTTAGTTGCAATTAAATCTGACTGAGTTGGAGTAGCTATATAGAATTGTTTGTATGGTTGAGTAATTTTTATTCAGAGATTTATCCTCTAATTCTCAGTGGACCATCAGCATATTTTTGTTTATCTATCCTTATGGTGTCATCCACTTACAGGTTTCGACAAAGGTGACTTGTGATGTGGTGCCTGGAACAAAAGCAGCTATCAGCTTTAATGTTCCTGATAACAAGTCCGGGAAGGTACTTAATTTGCAATGTGCACTTTTAAAACTTACAGATGTTCTTGTTGTGCATGAGTTTCGTTTTTTTTTTTTTTTTTGTGTTTTTGAAATTTTTGAATCTAAACATATTAAGTTTATTTTGGTTGAGACGAAGGAAAACTGATACCATTCACTCAGTAATTGAATGATTTCTAATGTTGGAAGAAGTGAAGTGATGCTAAGCTCTCCCATGGAGTAGAGATTATTTTTAAATTGCATAGCTGAATGACTTCTAAATACCTTTTTTTCATATTACATTTTTTTTCTAATTTTTTATTCCTGGAGCTGTGTCATAGGCGGGGCATAGTGATGTACAAAGGGTCTCAACCTTTCTCATGTCGTTTCAATATAGTGATGATTGTGTACCCTCTACCCCCAGTGGTTAAATATTTTGTGAGATGCGATTTCTTGTGCTATATTAGTCTTCCATATGGACTGCAATGAATTGCATAATTGTTACGAAACTCATTATATGAAGAACTTTCCACGATTTGACTTTGAACATCCTGCAATGTTGGTAAAAGATTTGTTTCCAAAGACCTTGTTGACCTTCTATACGTTCTTACAATCTGCGAGCAGATACTGGCATAATGCATGAACCTGATTATTTTGCCATTGACATCATCATTATTCTCCTTCTCGACACAGAAACTCTCGAAAGAGTCTGCTTGATATATCAGTTAAAAGATAATGTAGTGTCGTATACATGGTTTTTATTGAAGTATGGTTTAGAAACAATATAAATATCATGGTTTTTTTTTTTTTTTCCAGCTTGATGTACGTTATCGATGCCAGTATTGGTCTGAACCCAAGTCCTCTTCTGGAAGTTGCTGCAGGAATTGGCTCCAAGGATATAGCTATTGGTGATTAAGTGGGGTTTGACACCTCATCTTCATCCGTTACAAAGTGCAATGCTGGAATAAGCTTCAACAATCCCGACTTTTCTGCAGCTGTTTTACTGTATGTAATACTCTCTCTATATCTCCATATTTCCATTTAATTTTTCTTTGTTTTCTCTAATTACCTTTCAATGTAATGCACATTAAAACATACTTGACCGTACAAATATAAATACATATACACCACATCTATACTAACAATCCCCTGAACACTAATTTCGAAAATGGGACCAGATTATATAATTTGGTTTACAAGGGGTGGGTTCAACTTACATAGACAAAATCGATGAAATTATAATTAGTTGTGAATCTTTGTGAAATTTGCTCAAAACAATCTTTGAGCAAATTATCTTCTGAATTAACTAATTTAGCTGCAAATTTAATCATGAGAGACTATCTTCAGCTAATTTTAGCTGCCTCAAAAGAGAACTTAGAATATATATATATATATATATATATATATATATATATATATATATATATATTTGCTCTTGTAGGCCTCATACGCTCACTTGGTCAACCCATTGATTTGGGACCGGCGAATTTATTATTTAAACTAGGTTATTAATTTAGGTCTCTCTCTACCTAAAAAATTGAGGAGACTAATTGTTTGATATGCAGTTTTTCTCTAACTTGCATATTATAACTAATATTAACTTGCATTAGACCTAACTTTAGGGTTGAAATTAAAAAAAAAAAAAAGAAAAAAAAAAGGAAAAAGCATTATACCATGATGTGACATTCTGTTTTTTGCAGGTTTTTTGCAGGGAAATGAAAGGTCTTGCAATGGAATTAAAAATTTTGCAGAGGATTGTAATATCAATTTTAACTTCATGTAATGGGCCTTTGATTTCTTATATTCTGAATTGCTCAAAGTAGCACCGTAACTATTTGAGTTTTTTTTTTTTTTTTTTCTAGAGATAGTTGATTTTAATTTTTATTTTTGGAGTTTAGGAATTTGATCATGGGATTGCACGTAATTAATTATTATGTGTGACATATGCTTCATTTTTTTTTATTTCGATTGTTCAATATATAAGTAAATAAATAATCATAAAAACAAAATAAAAAAAAATGAACTAAATGATACTATGAGTGTATAATTCAAATTGAGCAAATCTCTGATGAATATATATATACCATATATATACAAACACACGTAAACCATATATATAATATAATAATAACCATATATATATATATAGACACATAGAGAGTACACCAACTATATATATATAGACACAAACAGAGAGTACACCATACACAGAGTACACATATATATACATACAGACACAGAGAACACGAAAATGTCGAAAATGTCTAAGTTCATGTTTGGTGCTGCGGCGGCGACAGGTCGGAAAATGTCTAAGTTCATGTTTGATGCTGGGCGGTCCATCATTGCCGCGGCGGCGACAGGTCGGTTTGAGGCGGCGACATGTGTTGCGGCGGCGACGTCCTCCACTGAGGCGGCGACAGGTCTCTGTCGGTCCTCCGTTGCGCCGCGGTTGTTCGGTAGCTCATCCGTTCGGTTTGCGGCGGCGACGTCCTCCATTGCGGCGGCGACAGGTCTCTGTGGATCCTCCGTTGCGCCGCGGTTGTTCGGTAGCTCATCCGTTCGGTTTGCGGCGGCGACGTCCTCCACTGCGGCGGCGACAGGTCTCTGTGGATCCTCCGTTGCGCCGCGGTTGTTCGGTAGCTCATCCGTTCGGTTTGCGGCGGCGACGTCCTCCATTGCGGCGGCGACAGGTCTCTGTGGATCCTCCGTTGCGCCGCGGTTGTTCGGTAGCTCATCCGTTCGGTTTGCGGCGGCGACGTCCTCCACTGCGGCGGCGACAGGTCTCTGTGGATCCTCCGTTGCGCCGCGGTTGTTCGGTAGCTCATCCGTTCGGTTTGCGGCGGCGACGTCCTCCATTGCGGCGGCGACAGGTCTCTGTGGATCCTCCGTTGCGCCGCGGTTGTTTGGTAGCTCAGGTTAGTAAAAAACTTTTTGTTTTTTTTAATTAAAATTCTGGGTGTTGTTAGATCTGTTGTTGTTCTGTGTTGCGCTTGGTTTGCTGGATCTGAAATCATTTATTATTTAATTTTTAATGTGAAGGGCGCCGGTGCTACAGCGCAAAGTCCCATGCATTCAAACAGAAATTTCATTGTAAAACGTGCTATGAACTGAATGATCAACCGGGGCCGACATATCACAAGATGAAGTGGCAATTTAACTCTCCCACGGAACTTTCTGCGCATTACCAAAGCAGAAAAGCTAAGGGAATATTCGATGCACATCCCGAATTCAAGCTACAATTTGGAAAGAGTAAGAACACTGTATGTGACCCTCAGCATCGCATTTGTGACTGCGGTGCCCGTTTTGATTCGCCGGATGCATACTACTTGCACAAGAATACTCCATATAAAGGCGACGACGGCACACCTATGTTTGGATGCATTCTGAAGCCGGGTGAATCCCTGCGCCAGCTTTCGGACAGGCTCGTCCAAGAGCTGAGGGATGAGCGTAGGGGTAGGGGTGACTAGGCTGGGTTTGGGTAGTAATCTTTTTGTCGTTAGTAATCTTTTTGGGTCGTTATATGACATTTTATTGTCTGTAACTAGTAACTTTTTTTTGTCTTTTAAAATATTCCCGGACTTCAGTTTAACACGCAATTTCCTTCTTATTGTACTTTCATACTTCACTTTCTTCTTCCTTTTTATTTAGTGTGGGGCCTTCTGCTAGTTTTTCTTTTCTTTCTTTTTTTTTACCAACATAATTAGGGTTATTTATAATAAATTTCTTAATGATCAAATCAAAATTAAAATTTTGATATTATTTAAAACATTTTTTTTAATATTATTAAAAACAAAAAACAAACATGTTAAACTAAGCTTTAAAATACAAAAGGGAAAAAAGACATACAAGAATAAATAAAGGAAATAATAATATAATAAAAAGTATTTTAACTTGTAGAAATAAAATCTATACTCTCCCTCACTACAATTGTTAGCTTATAATAATTTATTAATTTACCTTTTAAGAAAAAAACGGTTGCACTGATAGTAGGTGGTGGGACCATACATGTTACGTTATATTAAAAAGAGACATTTCCGTTAAATTTATTTACACTTGTCCCTTAATTAGAGCACTCCGATTATCCCATAATAATACCATGGGCAAATTACCAAAACCCCTGAGGTAAGCCTAAATAACGAAAATCCCTCCCATATTCTCGTAATTACGAAAACCCCCCTTGACTAACGGTTGACCGAATTTTTTTAACCGAAAACGTGAAATGTCTATTATATCCTTCTGTTAAATATGTAAAAAATAAAGGGCAAATTACCAAAAACCCCCTGAGGTAAGCCTAAATAACGAAAATCCCCCCTGACATCCCTTTCAGTTGATGATTTATTGCTTTTATAAATTTATTTATTACTTTGTAATTTGTATTGATAATTTGATATTATAATTTTTTATTTTTTTTATTTATATATTTTAATTGATTTTATTTATCCAGAGGAGTATTCATACGGATTTATGCTTTTAGCTTGAATGATGCATGGTTGTATTTCTCGAATTGTAAAATATTTAATTTTATATATAAAAAAATAATTAAATTTTGAAATCTCATTCATTGATTTTTTTTAATCCAATAAAAATACACTGTACATTCATAATAATTGATTATATTTGGGTTTAATTTAAGAAAAATAAGTATTTTGCAGACACTTATATATTTTTTTATTTATATATTTTAATTGATTTTATTTATCCAGAGGAGTATTCATACGGATTTATGCTTTTAGCTTGAATGATGCATGGTTGTATTTCTCGAATTGTAAAATATTTAATTTTATATATAAAAAAATAATTAAATTTTGAAATCTCATTCATTGATTTTTTTCAATCCAATAAAAATACATTGTACATTCATAATGATTGATTATATTTGGGTTTAATTTAAGAAAAATAAGTATTTTGTAAATTCATAATGACCCCTCATTAAATAAAATGCTTACAATTACCCCCCTAAGGTTAATTTCGTGTACAAGGGCAAAATTGGTATTATCGGAGGAATATTCGGGAGAATCAAAAAGATTCTATCGAGTCTAACACCGTTAGAGCGATTTGTAAGACGTCTGCATACCTCAGGGGGGTTTTCGTAATTACGAGAACATGGGGGGGATTTTCGTTATTTAGGCTTACCTCAGGGGGGTTTTGGTAATTTGCCCTATATATATATATATATAGAGAGAGAGAGAGAGAGAGAGAGAGAGAGAGAGAGAGAGAGAGAGAGAGAGAGAGAGAGAGAGGTAAGGGAAATTGCTACAAATGTTATTCATCATTTCATATTATCTACTATATAATAATTTTGTTGTAATAATTTTGTAAATTCACTCCCACGATATTTTAAAATCCAGGAAAACATAAAAGTCCTACAAAGATCAATTAATTCTAAGTTGGCTAAACATGAAGAAATGATTAAGAGTGTGTCCAACTAAGTTTATAAATTGTTAAAAATAATTTATAAACTCTTTTAAAGTGTTGCGTAATTTTTTAAAATTTTATTTTAAAATTATGTTGGAAAACTTTTAAGAACTTTTTCATAAAGGTTACACTTACACCTACCTCATATTTTTTTTATTTGAGATTTTATAATCAGTAAAAATAGCTTATAAACTTATTATTCAAAACATTTTAAAAATCATTTCTACAAATAAGACAAGTTATCAACTTTTAAAATAATTTATCAACCGTAACAATGTTTAAAATAAGCTTAACAAAATTGCAAAACAATAAATTTTCCTAATCTCTCTTGTTGAGAGTTAAAATCTTACTACAATCCACTACATATATCACTGATAATTATGTTCTCAAATCTAATATTCATGTTGTATTAAAAGTTAAAACAAGGTTCTTAAGCAAGTTTAGCATCTACTTTGCACAGCAAAAAAGCAACGAATAACATTTTTATTCGCAAGAATTGCTTCATTTTCAATCTTACAATTATATTTTTTGACACTCATACCAATTAATTAAGATTGTTATACATCAATAATCATCTAATTAATATTTAATATTTAATATATAATAAATAAAAATAAAGTCCAAAAGCGATTTTATAATTTTATAATTAATAATAATAATAATAATAATAATAATTTATTATTGAAAATATCTTGATCGTCATCATCATCACCATTCAAAAATCCTTGAGCAATTTTCGGACCTGTTCAAGTGTGACAAACAGCACGACGGTGAAAGGTCCTTGCCTAGAGATGGTCGGAATGAACCCCTTGTACAGCGCCATCGGCCCCTCCGCCCTGATCGTCTTCATCGCGCAGTCGATTGCGCCGGCGTACGGCGGCGCCACCCCGGGCTCCACCTTCATGTTCATCACCCGCGTCTTGATCACGTCGACCGGGTTCGACGCCACCGACGCAACGAACCCGGCCGCGAAGCTGGCCGTCACGTGCGTCCCGAGCCCGTCCTTCATCAGCCCCTTGTCGAGTATCGTCTCCTTGATCTGGTCGTACGACGCCAGCTGGGAGGCGGTTACCACCATGGCGCGGTTCACCGTAAGGGATGAGCCGCGCCACAGGCTGGCGACGCCCTCTCCCTTGCTCATCTGGGAGATGGCATCCACCACGCTCTTGTAGTTGCGCCTCTGCGCCGCCGGGAGGCGCCCGTCCGCCTGCATCCGGACCATCGCCACGTCGGCGGGGTTACCCACGGCGGCGCCGATGCCGCCGGCGATGAGTCCGGCGACGATCTTCCTCGTCAGCGGCATGTTGTTCGTGTTCGGATCGGACCACTTCGTCTTCAGGATGTCGTACAGGCCCATCCTCGTGGTGGAGTACAGCGTCTGGCGGAGGACGGTGGCGGAGACGCCGGAGAAGAGGCCGGCGAAACCGTCCTGCTGCACGATCCGGAGTCCGACGGCAACAGGCCCCACCCGGGGTGGAGGTGGAGTGAGGCGGACGTTTTGAGCGACGGAGGAGGAGGGTGTTTGGAAGGCGAGAGCAGGGCGGAGGGCCGGCGGCGGCGCCGCCGCCGCCGCCTCCCCCTGGAGCTGCATCCTGACCTTAATCAAATCGAGGGGGTGGGTGCTGCAACCGGCGACAATTGAAGCAATACCTCCTTCAACAAATCCCTTCACCCCCATATTTTTTTTCTCCGATCGAAAAAAATGAACAAACAAAAATCGAGATCCGAAAATTCCGGATGCTGTTAATTAAAAAAATAAAAAATCGAAAATTAAAAGGAAGAAGAAGAAGACCAATTGGAAACTGAGTTCATCTCACTGGAAACCAGGAGATGGGAATGGAGGCCGAAAGCTATGGAGGAGAAGTGGGGAATGTTTGGCCTTTGAGACATATGCTGTAAGAAAATTTCTGATGGGTGGCGGAACTGGTGGTGGTGGCGGAGATGGTGGCGGAGGGATTTTATTTATAGTGCTTGCTTTTGTGTGTGTATGTGTGTGGAAAAGAGGAAGGTGGAAAGGGGAAGGAAGGAAACTAGGTTTTCACACGCTTATTGGCGAATTTACTAATTAATTATTAGGGTAAATTACAGGTACACCCCTGAGGTAAACTAAAATTACTTTAAGGTCCATGTGGTATTAGTAATTACAGTTACACCTCTGAAACAATTATTTGATGTCATGGGGACCGATATGCACATATTTGTTTCACACGGGCCGTTAATGCTACCATAGACGATCATTTATAAAAATCTTATATAAAATAATAAGAATTTAAGAAATAATACGAGAGTCATGTCACCCTCTAGCTCTGTTTCTCTACCACTGCATTGATCTGTTAGGGTTCATGCAATGTTTCAGGGATTGACTGTAATTATTGATACTATAGGGACCTTAAAATTGTTTTAGTATACCATAGGGGTCTAGGTGTAATTTACCCGTATTACTATTTATTTAACTTTTATTTCTGATTTTTATAATTTTCCAACCTTTACGCGTGGTGGGGGTGGCCCCCAGTGGGAGATCTTTTTTGGCAAGCTTTTCAAGGTGAGCTTGGTTATAATTTGTTTCCAAATTTATTGATTTTTTTAACATAATATTTATTGAATTTATTTACATATAAAAATGCAAGAAATTGAACTATGGAAATCTACCAAGTGCAATAGATTATCTCAATAAATTGTTCGATTGAACAATTTAATTGATAAAAAAAAATTAGGTTATGTAATCTTATTAAGTTTGGTTTAATTGGTAAGATAAATCATTAAATAATTGGAGTTAATGTGATGTTTTGTTAATTTGATAAATCTTTTGGGGCATACCTTATTTATGAACAATGTAGTGTATTGTTTTAATTTATTAGTGAAGTGTATAATTAGTGGACATCTTATAGTCGAATTTCACAATTCGGTTTCGTAATAGGATTTACATAATTTTATTTTGGTTAATTAACGCTATTTATTTATTCACTCTTTGTAGTTTTTTTTTTATAATAGTAAGATGTTTTTTCAGAAGATATTTAAAATTTTGGGAAAACTCATATTGCAAAAATCTTAACTTTAAAATTAAGAGTTTTTTATTTATTAAACTTTTATAATAAGTAAATAAATAAGAAAGAATGTGAAATAAGAATTATAAAACATAAATACTACGTAGAGGTTTATAAATTTGTGTTTCGAGTTTTTGAGTTTTGACTTCTTTTATATATTATTTGAACATTAAGAAAATTAGAATTACAATTAAATATTTATAATATTTTTTTGTTATTAAAACCTTCGGTTAGCCGATATTACCCGACCAACCGACTTTTGAATCAATTAAAAATCACCGACTGACCCATTTATATATGGGTCGACTAAAATTACCGACTCGGTAAAAAAATTATTGACCAATAAAAGCGGGTCAAAAATAAATCTGTTGGCCGATAAATCAATCCATGCCCAACCCTATTTACAATACTAGATGTACAATAGATTTGACTCACATGTAATTCTTGGGAAATATCTTCCCTTTGATAATTGCATTAACAACTTTCTATAGGACCTAAGTAATTGTTATTCCTGCCCGTATGGGTATATAGCTCGACTGATTGTGGAGGTGACAAGTTGGTGCAATGTTCTAAAATCGCGTACTGACATCCGTAATGTAAGAATTTCAACTCCATTAAAAATTGATTCATTGTTCCGGCACCATGTCCAGGTCCAGGTCCACCCACCCTAATGGTAAGGTCCCCTAAGTTTAAATTTTCCTTCAATTGACTTATTAAAAGTCCTAATTAATTGGAGGACTTTCGAACATATGAACTATAAAAAATTAAAAATAAATTATAATTTTAAGAATTCCACATACAAATTACCACATTTGGTGCAACTTATTCTTATTCATTGAATAACCCTAGTGAAAAAAAATAATTGAGTCAATTAATATATGATATAGCATATGGAGTTGGATCCCAAGAAGGGTCCAACATGTTGGATCAATATAACATACACTTGTGTGACATAAAAATATTCTAACATTTTTTTATTGGGTTTTTGAATATATTCAATGAATATATTCTACGAATAATAATACAACACCATTCGCCAGTATGCCATTCTCCCTCATGAAAAAAGAAAAAATAAAAAGAAGAATATTAACTATTAAGACAAGTCTCTTACTTTGACAAAATTATGAATTATGCATCATCAACAAGATCAATAACCATACATACTTCTACGGTAGGGACGACATGGGTCGGTTTACCCACTTTCGACCTAATTTTCATGGCCGATAACCGATAATTAACTTATGCATATAGTCGGACCGATAAATTTAACTGACCTATATATTTATGGGTCGATTGGTACTTTTCAGTTTACTCAAAAATTGGTTGGCCGATATTATCCAACCAATTGTTTTTTTTTTATATAATAAAAACTTAATATAAATATGTAATTGTAGTTCTCATTTTTTAAAGTTAAAATAATATATAAAAGAAGTCAAAACTCAACATACAACTTTATAGACTTTTACGAATCATTTTTACCTTATAATTTTTATTTATGTTGAAATTAGTAAAAAGACTCTTAAATTTAAGGTTATAATATTTGCAACATAAGTTTTTTCAAAATTCTGAATGTCTTTTTGAAAAACTTTTTAAAATATTGATAGAATAACATCTTAATATTGTAAAAAAAAAATTAAATTAGATGGCCGATGATACCAATCAGCCGACCCATTTTTTCACCCTACAAAGTTGTTTGCCAACCATTATCTGACCCCAATGGTCAGGCCGACAATAATTTCTAATATTCAGCAAAATTGGGTGGTCGAATCGGATAGATAATTAACCGATACTTATCATACCTCCTAGCTAAAATTGTCTATATTGGCCTCTACATATTATTGATAACATTTTACATTTTCTAAAAGTATGTATGTATAATTTGAATTGTTCAAACTTCAAAGTCTAAAAGTCAAAACCCCTAATTTGATAAGCTAAAGGGGCAATTTAATAGGCAATAAATTGTTGACTTGACCCCTCCCGGTTCCTTCGATGCTAAACCCGGTGAAAAACACCGGGTGAGCATCGAAGGAACCGGGAGGGGTCAAGTCAACAATTTATTCCCTAAAGGTAAACCCTAGCGGATAATCTATTATAAAATATAAAAAAGAGACACGTGGCAGCAGAAGACCCACCCGGTATTTTTCACCGGGTGTAGCATCGAACAAATCACCCCTCCCCACCTAGATGACGATGGGCTAATTAAGAAATTTGTTGAAATTAAAGGCCAAATATAAATCGTTAAAAAACAAAAGGGGTTTAAATAAATAAATAAAAAGGCTCTTGAGGTGTATATGGGGACAAACTATATGACATAATAGAGAATTGATTGATTCCAACTTGAGTGGAGCCAACAAAGATGGAACATTGACAATTGATAAATAAATAAATTCAATAATAAAAAATGACATTTTATTTTCTGTAATAAGTAGTTTTAATTAGACCAATTGCCACGTGTCTTTCTATTACTGGCGCTTCAGGAAAAGACCTGACCGATTTGCCGCGTCAAAGGTTGTATCTGAGACAGGTGTTATAAGTTCCAGCTCAACTACTCGAGAAGTAAATAAATAAAAAAGAGCAAATTGCACTTCGCCCCCTCAGTAAATACATTTTTCGCACTTTACTCCCTAAAAATATAAAATGAGATTGTCACCCCTTGAAATATACAACTCGGAGCACTTTGCCCCAAATGTATATTTCCGGTCTAATTCTCGCCGGATTAAGGGTACATATGTCATTTTAATTTTTTCGATTTTAAAATCCCCCTTTCGTAGTTACTTATGGCTCCCAAATTAACAAAAAAATATTCCCAAATTGATGAAATTCTCTTGCAAGCTAGACGAAATTCTCTTCCAATTTCGACAAAATTTGTTCTTTGTTCTTCATAACCACTGTAATATGAGGTGGAAGAAGGTAAAATGATATTTATAGTCTTAAAGGACGAAACTCCCCTTCCAATTTATTCAAACCCGATGAGAATTGACTGGATACATATTTGGGGTAAAGTGCACCGAGTCGTATATTTTAAAGGGGGACAGTCTCGTTTTCTTTTTAAGGGAAAAGTGCAAAATGACATTTTTTAGGAGGCAAAGTGCAATTTATATATACAGTTGTATCTGTTGTAACTTGTATGTATTTAATGTTTTCTAGGTCAATTACGAAAATCATCCCGAACTTATGTTAAATCACGTAAAACGCCCCACCTATTTGTAATTACAAAAAGTCTCCCTGATGTTTGATTACGTCTTACACATACCTCTTGCAGTGTGATATTTATAGAATCTTTTTTTATTCCATAGAATTTTCCCGAAGAATGCTGATTTTACCCCTACAAACGTAGAGCAAATTGAAAGTAGCCATTCAAAGATGTTTTTTTAAAAAATGCCTATGTATGTTATGATGGATCATACTAGCAATACATAAAGTGTAGTGACGTTGCAATGTGATGTTGCAATAATGAGATTGCTTCTGAAGGTTTATCAAGGCCACATACATTTAAGAGACTGTTCTTAGAAGTAGAATCGACATTTTTCGGAAAAGGTTCCCATAAAAAAAAAAAAAAAAAAAGATACCGTGAAGAATCACGTCATTAGGGGGTCGGTGTAAGAAAGAAACAAACGTCAGGCAGATTTGGGTAATTAGTAATTACTGATAGGTGAAAAGTATTTTTCATAATTTAATCTATGTTTAGGGAGGTTTCTGTAATTTATCCATGTGTTTCTAAATATATAATTATTTAAAACATAAAAATGTCAATCGTCGCCTGAGAGATTCGAACTCTCGCGGGGAAACCCCATGTACTTAGCAGGCACACGCCTTAACCACTCGGCCAAAGCGACCAGATGTTGGGAAGATTTTGCTAACTTTACATAGCTTGTAGTATTGTTCATAATTTAATCTAAGTTCAGGGAGGTTTTTGTAATTTAATCCATGTTTTTCTAACAAAAATGCTATTTGCGGTCACAAAATTGCTATTCGCGGTTTATAACAAAACCCCCCAAAACTTTTAAAAATATCAAAAAACCCCCCAAAACTGCAAATAGCAAAAAAAAAAAAAAAAAAAAATCGAAAATTCGAAATCAAGCTTGAAGAAGGGTTGGGCTTCGATTTTTTGATGTAATTTCGACTCTTTTATGTGTAACATGCATTGGGTAGGTCGATTACGGAACCAATTTCATGTAAAAAGCCCTACAAATCAATTTATAGGGCTTTTTTTTTCGCAAAAAAATGTTCGAACGCCCAAGATGGGCGCC